GCTCATTGAAATCTTCGTTATGTTGTAAAATGAAATTTCATTTATTCTATTTTAGAATCTTTTAGTATGTCGAAACAAATTTACCTAAGTTATATGAACTTATTAAATTCATCCACCTAATCTACAAGTATGATCAGTCCAATAAGTTGAACTTATCGTGTTATAAAATGACTGGATTAGTTGCTTATATACTTAAACTATTACAACAAAACATCATCCTTGAAGGACACGAATAATGTATTGAAAGAAACTAAACAACTATATAATGTCTAAAGTTGGATATTAACACCATTTTTTTTCTAATGTTCACTTGATGAAGATTAGAGGGTATGTTTAGAATAAAATAGAACGAAGTTTAGTATCAAATTCTATACAGAAGTTACAGTACTTATGCACAATGAGTCTAAGTTCAATGGTGAAATTTATCATCAATTAAAAGAAGAAATTGCAGGCAGTCCTATTGGACTATAACTGATGATATATCTATGAAGTAATCATATAATGATTCATTTTAAATTGTACCAGCTGACTTCGTTTAAATTGTAGGCACGTAGATGAATGTGGTTAAGCACGAAGAATATATTTACAACGAAACTTAGAATCCGTTTTTTTTCTAAAACAATCAGTTCTTTTGACTTGTATATATTTTGAACTCACTGCTTGATCTTTATCTAGAATACAAAGTTGACCAAATCGATAACCAGGTCGTGTTTACTGAAAAATTAACTAAAAATTTGAAAATGAATATATTTTAAGACAAAAGCAGACTGGAGTGAAAAACATATCACTTTTGTATATGTCAACGAAATTGTATTATACATTAAAGAAGAATAAGGTTTTCAAGAAGTGTGATATTAAATCAAATAAGCAACAGCAAAATAAATACAATTCTAGTTTTACTGTTTTTTTTATGTTAAGTAATGTTAGTGGAAATATTGAGTTTTCAACTTATTTCCTGAGAATTTCCTATTGATGACTTTAAACCAGAGTATAATAGATCAGTTTTATAGCTATTGAAAACATTATTGAGACAGTGGAAAACATTTTCAGGATCTAGATTTTGGAGATATTGTGTTCTGTAAACTAAATGGTTTATTCGTGGAGCTTTTATTGTCTTTCTCTACGTCATCGGTACTTACATGAACGAGAAGTAGCTCAATAAAATTTTGCAATAACAGAAGAATCTTCTATTCAGTCGTGGATAAATTCTAATAACTCACTTTTTAGACAAGTGTGTACTGATGATTCTGTCGAAAAAGACGTTCAAAGCTACACATTTAAGCTATCCAGCTCAGAAAATAAACATACTTAAAAAACAAATACCTAAACATAATACTTACAATGAACTTTTACATAACTTAATTAGTTAATTTGTGGCGGTTTTCGTATGTTTTAAGCTTGATCTGACATCAACTGGAAATCTTGACCTGAAGTCAATCAAATTTTTAAAAAAAACTGTAACATATTGTTCAGACTGGGTTTACGATCATGTTATAACGAAAATTGATTGGAATCAGAAATGTAAACCGGTGGATCTTGACATAACAGCCTACAAATATCGTAGTAATGGTTTAACTTTTCATTGAATCTAATTAGTTAGTAACTGAAACAACCAAGCTATTTATTTTAATTCTTTGATTTTTATCGATTCTCCGAATGATACCGGTTTTTTAATGGAAAAACAAACATTAAATCTTATTTAATTTAGATTTCGATAGACTAAATGCTTTATAAGATAAAAGGAAATTATAAATCTGATATAATCTATAACAAAACTATTACACATTTTGAGCGACCCAACCATCATTTTCTTTAGTGAGTTACTATCTCACAACAGACCCATTTGAACTACACTGGTCACTCCTTCTCACTAGAACTCCAGGAAATACCTCTTGAAGCCAGTCACTAGTGAGCATATGTTGATTAATATCAGAAGAGGTTTGGTGGATATTTTAGTAATTTTAATAGTTGAGATCATGAGTCAATTGAAGCTAGACCGCCACGGAAAACCTGGGAGCATTGGACGGCCGTTTCGTCCGAGAATGCGCATCCACGATCCGTCACACGGGACTCCGCAAAACGCCAATTCTGATACTTCTTATCATGTGTCTACTAGTGACTGGCTTGACGAGGAATTTCATTGAGTTCTTTTCAGAAGCCGTGATCAGTGGAGTTCAACTGTCTGTTGTGAGGCCGTTACTCACTGAAGACAATAGTGGACGGTAGCACAACATCGTGGATTAGTTGAAATTAGATATTAGCACCGTTGGATGCCTGTGATTATTCTATGAATCTAACAACTATTGTCAACTATTTGAATGAAAATGAATAATATTGAGATAACAAGGATAATCGTTTAATGTTTATAAAACCAATGAAGATCAAATAAATTTACTTGATGATAAAATTGTATAAACCAAATAAGATTAACAACTATACAAAACTGAGTTTACCTAAGACTATAAATGTTTATTCATTGATGTTATCAGATGAAGCAATCCACTATAAGTAAATAAAGTTTTTATTTTATGTTTCATTTGAATATTACACTAAATTAAACATAGAATTGATCATTTTAAAATGTAATTCTATCAATTTACATTCATTTATGGAAGAGAAAGGATGAGACATTAAATTTTTGAACGACCTTTGAGTGACGCTCAAGTGACCTTGAGAGTGTCTACCTAATTACTAAGGCTAACTGAGGGTTATAAAACAGTTTGAAAAATAAGGATTATGATTCACAGTTGACGGTTAGGGTTAGGAATTAGATTTATGATTTTTCATCACGAACTGACATCAGCTAAAATGCCAAGACGCTATTTGGACAGATGGGTGAGTGAATTTGGCGCCAAAATCCAAGATCTGTTACACTAAATCTAATTGACTAAAGCCTCGCCAGAGAAAGAACTTTTGTTTGATTCGTTATTAGCAATCCACTTTAGCATGCTATCTAGATTTATGAAGATCATATAATTTATAAGCGGAATAATGAGATAAGAAGAAAATTGTCGATATTACATAACTAGCGATAAACTGTATTAACTTCAATATGAAAATGTTGTACATGACATATATTTACATGTTTCTGGATTACCCTGATAAATAAAACATGAATTTTGTACATGAATATCTGTTACGACTAATTTAACAAGGGGTTTTTTGTGGATATTATAGTAATTTTAATGGTTGATATCATGAGTCAAATGAAGCTAGATCACCATGGAAAACCTGGAAGTCCCAGTAAGGGACTCCTCAGCAGTGAGTATCCACAATCCCGCCTTGCGGGGTTCGGACTCAGAACCTTTCAGTCTCGCGCGCGGACGCTTAACCTCTAGACCAATGAGCCGGCATCTAGCGATGTTAATGTCAAAACGTATACTGGTTTTCATATTCTCTATCGAATTGCCTACTCATTTTCTGTAAGAACTTATCAATATGTAGATGTTACAAGCAATAAATTAACCTGAGAAGCCTAAAGTTCAGAGGTTGGTAAATGACCTACTAAACTTGAATATAATAATAATTAGTCATTAATATGAATTTTAAACATATTTAGTGTGATAAAATTGGATAAGGGTGTGTAATTTGTAGCATGGAAAGATTTATTGTTTCTGATTTATTTTAACGTTTGACATCCTTTCATTGTGCATTACATGAAGAAATCTAAAATTTTGAAATAATTACAACTCTGCCACAATCACGTAAAATGATCTACCGTCCATCCATGACCCAAATAGTATCTTCCGTTATAACAGTAAAATAACATCCTGCTGACTAGTGATTTAATAGTTTGTGTAGTACACAAACATTTAATATATATAGCTATAAATTTGTGAAAACTTTTATCAATCCTCGACTAATAATTTAAAGCATAACACATAAATAACTTCGCATAGAATTTAAAAAAGGGTAACAGGTGGGATGCAGGTCTCCTTACAATCTATTTAAAATGTGATAAGTAGTCAGTCGATTATTTAAAAATATAGGAGCTCAAAAATTATATGTATCTATCTATATTACCAAAATCTACGTCAGCAAAACGATAAGCAATTAACAGGATTAAGGTCAATCATAGTAAAACTAGTGTTGATGATAGTATAAGATCAGAAGCATACATCATAATTATAAAAATTAAGTACAGTTTGTGAATGAGATTTCCAAATCATCAACCTCGAGAACTAACAAAATGTAAAGAATTAATACATCTACCCTACAAAACGCTGTTCTAAGCTATTTCATTTATGCTTAGTAATGTACTGTCACACACTAGGCAGACTAACGGTTGGTGAGTAAAGTGACTAGTTCCATGTTCTACTTTACCATTCCTAACCCTTATGCATTCTACGTCTACGTAATTTACTAGTTCAAATCAACATATGGAATGAATGGCCATGGTTAACTGACTTCTTAACCAGTTCAGTCAATGTCAGTTCAAGTCCTCATCAACTTGTTAATAATCTCTATCTACAAGATACTTCAGGCCTAAACACACTACTACTTAATGAAAGATCCTCTTATATATGATCAATGCCTTGAGGACATATCTTACCGTATAAGTGTATCGTAGATTTATTCACTACTTTTTGGTTCCATATATTACAGCGATAAAATAATGCAGAACAAACAACTGATTACTGTATAGGACTTTCGATAATCTAAAGAAACTCTTCCTTGTATCATAGATCATATGACTATCTGGTTATGAAACAAACAAACAAAAAACGAAATCTCCCAATATTTCTTGTTGTTATAAAGGATATCAAAAATGTATTTGGTGGAAATGTAAAAAAAAACAACTTTTTTTAGGTTAAAAAAAACAATCTATCTATCTATATATATGTACACATGTAATGAAAAACGTCTTCTAAATAAAAGAAAATCCTTTTTTTTTATAAATAATTGAACAAAGATAAATTGTTGAAGACAATTACAATAACAAACAACATTATAAATAATAAAATAATTTAAAAGAAAAACAACAACACAACTTCACTGACCTGAATGATTTATCTAATTTAGATGTTGTTTCAGTGTTTAAAATAGATTTAAATGAAGATGAATGCTTATTCAAGTGTATTAGTTGATTATTATTATTATCATTACTTTTATTAGTAATATTATCACTATTATTAACATTAGTATTAGTTTTATTTAAGATAAATGGCTTTGGAAAATAATTATATTGTTGATCAGTGTAATTATTTGTATGTGAAATCATTTGTGACCTAATAATAGTAATATTAATAATAATAATGAATTATTGATTTTTGAATGAAAGAGATTATTTTTTTTTAAAAATGTTTTTGGTTAATAAAACAAAAATTAATATGTGAAGTGTTTTTTCTTTCATTATTTTTTTTAAAGAAAATTAAACTTTCACAATAAAAATTTGATATTTATATTAATTTTTTAAATTATTTTTGGAATATTTAAAAAAAAAATAAAAAAGTTTAAAAGATAAATTAAAAATATTAGTTAAAATTCAATAACAAATAATAATAATAAAGTATGAAGATAACTAGTTGTTTAGTTTATTGTTAATTATGTAATTAATTAATTAATTAATTGCTAAATTTGGTTCTGATGGAAACATTCTACATTGATTATTGTATTTCAATTGATTAGTTCCAAAATATTCACTGGGTATAAATTTGATTCTATTGAAAAAGTGTAGGAAAAAAAAACAAACAAACAAAAAAAGGAAAACAGATGAATAAACAGTGAATTATGATTAATTTTTAATGAAATTGCAAAATGTAATCAGAAAAATCTTGAAAGAACTAATTTAGATATAAATTACAGCACAGTGTTGACTTCATTATTGACGATGATGAATGATGGATTGTGTTAATTAAACACATTAATACATTATAAATATCAAGGTTAAATAGTAATATTTTAGAAATGTATATTTTATGTGTATAAAATATATAACGTTAAAGCTCGACAATACAATATCTATGTGATTCCATTTTTAATAGGTATATATGAAATACAAATAAGTAGATAGACACATATATACTTTACTAAACATATGAATAATTAAAAAAACCAAATATACAATTGTACAAAAATAACTGATAACATCAAAATAAGTCATCTATCTATCGACTAGAATAAGCTCATGATACCATTATAACTGATAAGATGGAATGAGAAGTCTAAATGCGATTGATTTACTCTTTATGAGCTTTGTCCAACATTACTTCTGTTCTGATTCAATGTGATGATCATTTGGTGTAGTATTTGTTTTCTTTTGTCGTATGATATTTTATTTCTGTATAATATACCATATTCTTGCTCTGTGTGTGATTTGTCATAACTGAGTATTTTTTATATATGTGATTTCATCCTAATTATTATTCAAAGTGTGTGTACAATCAATTTATAAACGAGTGTACTTTTGACTAGAGTCGTCGTCGTTGTCGTGTTTTGGGGTTAATAAATTTTCACTTATACCAGTCTTTGTGTGTCTACTTTCGCGTCGAGGGAATTGTAGAGTTCCATCGTTTCGAGTATAAGTAATAAGCGTTTCCGACACAACAATCAGCGACGACCAGATATAACAAGTAACATTCAACTGACAAGTTATAACAATAACAGAGAAGTCACTACAATATATTCGATGAAATCAATGATATTTTCAAATGGTTATTACATTTATTTCCATGTCGTTTTGTTCATGGTTCTAAAATATTGATAGATTTATACATAACTTATTCAAAATGATTCTCTGAAAACATTTTTCATCATATCATATACAATTTAAATAATGAAATAATCAAGACAGATTATCATTCAGTAAAAATATTACATCATAATGTTAATTGTTTTTTTCATTAAATCGTATCAGGCAATGTCTCGAACTAATGAATCTCATATTCCTAGTGAATTAATCTAAAGAGTCATGATATACTGACAAGTACTAACTCAATATTCTTACATTAAGTTCTACGGTATGATTTTTTAATTTTTCTAGCCAGTATTCATGTTTCGAAGTTATGCTACTAATTAAAACGCGATGAAGCAAAGGTAACTCAGATTGACAGTATACTTTTTTGAATCTAACTATATCCAAATTCATACAATGTATCACTCCATTGCTACACTCTCTAAGATACACAAGTACAAGGAATTCTTAATGATATTTTACGGTTGATCATACATTTTCAGTGCAACTTAAATGGCATAAATGTATTATCAAATTTTATATATATATATATATATATATATATATATATATATATATATATATATATATATATATATATATATATATATATATATATATATATATATATATAATTTATACATGTAATAATGTTAGTTAAAAACATTTGTATAATACTTTATTCGATCGTTGACATTAGAGTACTTATATTTGATAATTACATTTTGCTATCTTCCGAAACATTACTGCAGTATCATTGGGAAAACTAAGGTTGTTTGGAAAACTATACTACAGTTACCACAATTATATTAACCAATTTCATTTACATTAATTATTAGCTATAAACAGTTATAACTGGTATTCAATTCCATTTCTGAAGCAGAAATTTGAAAGAAAGAAATAATTAAGTGTCCTGATTTAAAATATTTTGTTCAGTAATACACAGACTATGAGATAGGTGAGTTATTAATAAGCACATTAACAAATAACTGATTAAACTTAATATCAACATTTCAACAACTAGGTCCATTAAAACAACACAATTATTTTTATTCAACTGGAATACAATGAATAGTATTTCAAAAAAAACTATAAAAATAAATTTATTGCAGCCACCGTAGACTTATAACTTACTTGATTCAAACAATATTACCAAATTCAAATATGCTCTTGTAATATTATACTTTTTCTTTAAAATCCTAATTGAAGTGAGTAAGTAGATGGATTCGACTTTACACAGTTAATATGACATTCATTTCAAGTTGTCGGAAAATTTGATGTTAATGAAAAATTTAATAAGTGTACATACAAATACAAATGTACTTCATTCAAAATAAGTTAACTTTGTAATAGGATATTACAAAACGAGAGAATATGGAACAACTATAGATTAATGTAGTATTTGCGTGTTTATATAGTAATGGTAAGCCTATATAATCAAAATTAAGTAGACAGATCAAATTTCCTTGTGAATACATTTGTTTGTTTTGAAAATCTATTTATATTGTTAAATATTATGATAAATTTCACTTTAGATGTTATTTTCATAATCAAAATTAATCATACTTAATCTAGACATAATCCAAAGTGAAATAACATGTAATATGAATCATATCGGAATCACTGAATTGAAATATGAGTTAAATGTATACAAATAATATTATAAGATCTTATAATGGATACACCCGGAATTAAATCTAACTATTGATAATCTCTCTTAGATATATTTTAATTCACAATAGTCTCTTCCATTATGTAAAAAGCCAAAAGGGACACAAAGAAATAACTATTGTTTTTATTACTTAATACAAGTTTGCCATTCAGAAAAGCATATACATTGGTATACTATAACAAAATACTTCAAAAGTGAATCCCTCTAGAATATATATAAACCTGAAGACGTTCTCCACCATCGCGATTATTTATCAAAACATAGTCATTTTACAATTGATTACTAGATGGTCAAAAAGAAAGGTTTTTCATTGACAATCATGTTGTTTTTTTCCAAAGCAACATCTATGTTGTACAGATTAAAAATAATCATATTCACTAAAATTTATAATTCAGCATTATCATATGGCCAAATCTTGAAATAGGTTATATTTGCTTATGTAAGTTCCATTTGATAATTTTCTTTTTCAATAGAAAGAAAACGTGATTCCATGCGAAGAAACTTTCATGAAGGACAAGTTTATGAGGTAAAAATAGTAAATTAACGGAATGGCATAATATTGACGTGATGAAACTTGTTTATTTGTAACAAACGTTTAAATGGGTTAATTCGTTGTATTATTTAAACTTGTGTTAATTTGTATCACAACATTTATGCCTCCAAATATTGCTAACCAAAATTATCGCCTCTAAATGCCGTGGTACAGCCGAAGGTGGAGAGAGTCAGCTTCCCCTCTCTATATGCTCTCACATAGAAACGTGCATACAACTACTGCCAGGGAAATCCTACCCACTTCCTTCTCGCGGCAGGGGTGTTGTTTACGAAATTGAGAGGACGAAATGCGAATGCGTAGCACTTAAACCGGGTTGATGTATATGTAAGAACCACCTAGGGAAGCTGGTGCACATGGGCTCCAGGATCCTGAGAGAACAAAATGGCGTATGAACCTATTGTTGGTCACCGACTACCATGGGACTGCATCATCTAACGTTGCAGTACCACAGCCCACATACATATCAAGTGACTTATGTGGTGCATATGTATTCGGTGCCCCTTTGTACTAATATTTATGTGTTTAAATAAATAAATAAATAAAATCTAGTTCCAACCTTAATGCACAATAAAAATATTAAAGAAATGAAAGATTATAATCATTTAATATGATGAACTTCAGATTACTATTAAAATAGAAATAAAGTATTAATGGTCATAGAATTTTGATGCATTGATGATGTAATCATAATCTTTAGAACAAACATTGAACTAAATCTAATGTTTTTCACTTTTTATGTCATTGGTTTTCATTCGAAAAAGAAGATATTATCATAAAACCATAACGTTTAAATGATAGAAATCGTAAGTGTATCATTAAAACAAACAAACAAAACTACGAACTATTTACCAATATCTTCGATGTAAACAGCTCAAGCAGTATGAAGAGTTTTGTTTAAGTCATTGCTCAATACCATATGAAATGACAATTTTTACAGGTTACAACAACTTAACAATTGAAATGATTTCAAGCTAATCTTTACTTAAAAACAAAGGAAAATTGTAGTGATGAACTTGACTAAAAAAAGAGGAGCAAGTGTTCTTCAGTTTTCCAGCTGATGTCAGTTGGTGATGGAAATTACTTTTCACTATTTATTATTTTATGGTTAATGTCTACGGAGCAATTATATATATTTTTGATTTTTATGGAATGATATTTATGTCAAAAGAGCAATAGTAATGAAAGACATTCCTGTATATGACGTAATAATAATTAACTAGATAAAATGCTGATAAAATCAATTAACCATGATCAGTAATAAAAATACCGATTGTTTATTTCTTAAGATAATTTTGAATACTTTCATAATATCTGCTTCGATAAAAAGCAATGAAAATAAATTCCTTCATTAACTTAAACAATTCTATTAAAGTACTGTTTAATGAAAAACGTTAGATCACCATTGAACGCCTGGAAGCATTGAATGGCCGTTTCGTCCTAGTATGGGACTCATCCATAGTGCACATTCACGATCTCGCACGCAGGATTCGAAACCACGTCCTTCGGTCTAACGCTCGAACGCTTGACCTCTAGACCACTTACCCGATCGGCATCCGATTCACGAAATTGCGCGACTATCTTCCATTTTCTGAGGTAGATACTTGTCACTACCTGACATGGATTAGCTCAAATCCCGTGTGTGGGATCGTAAATGCACCTTACTGAAGAGTCCCATAATAGGATGAAACAGCCATCCATTGCTTCCAGGTTTTTAATGGTAATCTAACATCAATCAATTCATCATCTTAATCAAAACTTAACAATTTCCATAATCCTACACTGGAAAAAACTTATTTAACTGCTTATGCATACACGCAAAATAGTTAGTCTAATTTCCGTCATAAATTCATTTCATTTATCCTTTGTAAGCATGCATTAAATTAATATACTATTCACATATATGCATCCCAATCAACATTTTGTAAAACAAAAAGAATTTACACTTCCTGTTATGATTATAACAATCACTATTTAAAATGATTATAGGCATCCCTGGAATTGAGAAATAAATAATATTGACTAGTTTTTTTTTTCTTTTTAAAAATTCTTTTGTTTAATTTTATTTAACACATTTTCTTTTTCTTTTTTTTGTTTGCTGTTGTTGTTGTTGTTGTCAACTAGTTATCCTAAAGTTAGTCAGGAAGACAAAATCAAAAATAAAAATTTTCTTTTGAAAAAAAAAGTAAAAATGGAAAATAAGTCAAGCAAATGAATATTAATAAAAGAATGAAATTAGAATGATTAATATAATTATGTTTAATTTAACAGTGACTTATTTTGTAACAAGAATATAAGTGACGGATGAATGAATGAGAGAAATGGATAAACACAAGCAAAAACAAAAAACAACAACAACAACAAAAACAACCGAAAGTTGACGATTAGGGGAGAGAAAAATTCGATTTCATTTCAATAACCACAATTAATATTGACAATTTATGTTAAACAATTTTGATTTTAAGTAAAATTCCTGTTATTTCTTTTATATAATTATTTCATATTAACCATTTATTATATATTAAAAAGGAGGTGGATCCTTTAAAGTTTATACTTCCCTAGGATATACCCTGGTAGAAGGAGTAATATGTGGTAACATTTAGAAATACTCTGTACTATAAAATCAAATTTTAATTTCATCAACATTTAACGCGATTGCAAGTAATTACATTAGAGAAGATAAAAAGAGGGGAGTGATTTTAGAACTATTCTATACTTGGTAAAGTCATTAATCTAGGGATTCGAAATATTATTGCGTGTCTTGAATAACTCTGTTATTAATGTACAACCAGTGACTTTATATCGAGTAAAATTACTATTCAACATTTAACCAATAAATGCTCCATAATAATTACATTATGAAATTTGTCTATTGAGATACTATCGTCAAGAAATTTTGAAACTTTTGGTTTGAAACAATGTTTTTAAACGCGTCTTTATGTAAGCTTACAGCAAAATATATGTCCGTAAAATGATGTCTGATTGAGTGCCACATACCTCGACAGGTAGTGTTTGCTGATGTACAAGTGAGTTATAAAAAATACAAAAGGTGTCAAAACCCCAATGTGGTATCAGTCTAATAATTGGTTGACTGTTGGTCTAAGTCATAGTGACAGATGCAGATTACCAGACTGAGGTCCGCAATGTAACCTCGATTAGTTATTGGAGAACTAGATACATCCGTTTGTTTTGTTACTGTAAGTTTAAAGTTTCATTATTCATTTATAAAAATATTTTCATACAACCAGACCCCTTGATAACTGTAAACAGAGCAAGAACAACAAGGATCACAGAATAAAATGAATTCATTCTATTTCACAGTCTCTCATCCGCTGAATACAACCTTAAATTACCTTAAATTAACAAATGTTTAGCATACTTTAGTTTGTGAAGTTTAGATAACTATTCGAAGATTAGCCAAAATCAAAATCAGAAGTATGAATAAACAAAGTCAAGATCGATGTGTATTTATATGTTGGGAAGTAATAATTACGAGGTTATGTAAAAGTAATGAAATTAACGAGTGATTGGATAATCTCTCTATATGACAAAATAGGCAAGTATGTGACCATCAGTCATATTATGTAAGAGATGAATATCAGAAGACGAAAGAATAATAAAAGTTTGGGGACAGTTGAAAAACTGTTTTGAGATTAACAAAGATTATCAGACAAGTATCCAATCACCATGACAGAGAAAGGCTAATCAAACTTTCCTTTTGTACACATAAGTCAGGTCGGTAACCTTGGATAGCGATTGCCTCTGCACAACGGAGTGAGATTGGTGTATTTTGTCTGTTGATTATTTTGAATGGATCTCTTACATTCACTCGTGTCCACTATCTAGATATCTGGTGATTCCAATTGTAAAGACTTTAATTCATTTTGGAGACCTTTCTCTCTGTCCTCTCTATGTACTTGCCACTGCAGGTACATGTGAATTCATAAATGTGATAAGTGATCTCAGAAGGGTATTGATCTACCTTTGAGTGGTACAGCAAACACTTGGTATTGTATAGTGAAGCCAAATGAACAACAAGGAAGCTTTTTTCAGTGCCGCCGTGACTCTTCCGTCGATTTTTCTTGAAATCTCAGCTCCCTCTTGATCGGAAGGCGCATAAAAACAGGCCTCTTGCTAATAATCGATGGTTTATCAACCTTGAGATGTTCTTTTCTATATTTCGTAATGCATTTCCTCAGGTATTCATTTTTTATGAGTTGCTTCTCCAGAATAGCTAATTCCTCATTTATTTTGCCATTTGAGTATAACATTCTAAATCAATTGAAGAGCGTTTTGACTAGACATCTTTCGTAACTGATGGGACAAAAACAGTTACAGTTCAAGTACTGTCCTGTTCATGCTCCTTTCCCATATATGTACTCTTCTCAAGACTTCCATCAATTTTCTCTGTCTTAAACTAAGATCTAAAAAATTGAATTGATTATCTCTTTTTTTATTTTATTGTAAACGTTATGTTAGAGTGAGAGTTGTTAAAGTGACTAAGTAACTGAGAAGCGTAGTCACAGATAATGAACGTATCATCAACATAGCTGGTTTAGTATGTTGTGTTCTAATACACACTTCTTATCCCTAATCTTCTGATTATGATTTTGGTTACTCTTTGAACATTCATCTAAACTTCAAAAATTAAAGTATGATAAACATTTGTTAATAATTATATTTTTATTAGTAATTGTAATTTAAGGTTGTATTCAGTGGATGAGAGACTATGAAATAGAATGGATTCATTTTATTCTGTGAACCATGTTGTATTTGCTCTGTTTAAAAAGTGCTTCATCCTGTTCTTTTAAACTATATTCTTAAAACTGTTTCCACTTCATTATTATGATATCTTCACCATACACCTTATTAATTTCACGTCGTTATACTATCATTGTGTAGCAATTCCGATCAACGCACATTTATACTACACTATATATTTATTATAACTGACTAGAAGTTTCATTTGTCCATGTAAACTAATTTATTTATTCTTTGTAAATATAACAGTCTCAACTTTTAATTCGTCGTGATATAAATGAAATTTATCTGTAGATGTTGCAAATATTTTAGACGATACGGAATTTAAATACAGAACAATCAAATAAAATTACTATGAGACTGTAATTTATGGACGACTTTTGAGCGACGCTGAAATGATCTTGAGAATGGACACCTAATGATTAGGACTAAATGAGGGTTATAAACTAGTTAGGGTTAAAAATTTGATTTAGGTTTTTCATCACGAACTGACACCAGCTATAATGCCAAAACTCTATTTAGCCAAATGAATGGATGAATTTCGCGCCAAATACGCGACTCATTATATCATATTTGATTGATTCGTCCATAAACTATAGTTCCACCGAAATTGCTATAAAAATCTATTTTGATTATAATCTAGACGAAAGGTGAGTAATATCGATAAAAAAAGAATTAAATGTTAAATGAATTCCTTTCAATAACTTACTTTATAAAACCAGAATAAGAAATCAATTTTCTTAATAATCTTAATGCTGTAAAAGCTGACATATTTTGAAAACTGTAATCTGATACACTTAGAATTCGATCACCAGCAGTAGGAATGCGTAAATGATCACCATTTATACAAGAAGTATCTGAAAGTTTTGAATAGTCTGAATCAGTTTGAATATAATTCATAGATTTGTATTTATTCCAATATTTCAAACGATCTACTGGACTTCCAGGAGTAATATGTGCAAGTTTTATACCTCTTTCATCTCCACTTTCTAATTCCAGTTCTAAACCTAAAAAATATAGTCCAAAATATATTTGTAAGAAAAATACACTACGCTAAGAGTATGTAGGTTTATTTTATTATACTAAAATCACATATATTTACAGTTTCATAAAACAATGTTATATTTCGTGCTTTTGCTATCTGTTTGAATATCAAGACTCTCTTATTTAAATAATGTAAATTGTACAAAACATTTTCTTAAATCAGGTTTTTTTTCATAAATCAATCCATTATGTAACTTTGAAATATACTCTTATGGCAATGAAACAATTACTAATTAGTAGAGCATTTATCATTTAGATTCAATTTCATGAAGGTTTTATGATATCATGTAGCTGTAAGACAGTGATTATTTCACAATTAAAACATTCGACTTAAAATCACCGTGAACAATTTCATTTAGTGGTTTAAAAATAAGTTTTAAGGATTAGTGCTGAGTATCACGAAAGCATATTCAAAGGATCCTTGGTATTTATATTCAATCACCTAATAGTATTTAAGATACATTTTGACGTTTGGAATCCAAAACGGAAATTTTATGATACATCAAAAAAGTTTTCGAGTCAAATAGAATACATGGTTAATAACAAGAGATACGACTTGATAACCAATGTTTTGTGTTTCATTGCAAACTTGTATTACACCTAAGCAATTATCTGCAGAATTATCAAATAAAATCCAGACATACACATAAAGTTGCACAATTAAAACATCACCATTGCCTGCAATTTTTTACAAAAACTACATAAGTTTTCATTTAACAGTATACTATACAAATACTGACTGTCTGAAGTCAGTCAGCTACAACGTAGGACCAGGTACATATATGCATCGGTTCAAGTTGACATACCCCATTAACATAACAAGATTAACACCATATTCATAGAAGTAGTTAATTCAATGGTGGTAATATATAAAAGAAAGATTGCATATAAGAACATAGTATAGAAAGAAAGAATTAGTACGTAGAAAGAAAGATATGAAGTGATTTTAAAGGAAGACAGAGAGTGTATAGATCTACGTCATTGTGATCGATGCTGAGCCATGTCATCAAGAGTCTCCAATCATTGGTTACGATAGTCACGCGGACCCCAAACAAGTAGTCTGCATCTACCAACGTGGCTCAGACTAGAAGTTAATGTCTTCAAGCACTGATGCCACGTTTCGGTTTGACCGCACCTAACTTTCTTCCAACCATCCCCAACACCGGTTAGCATTGCACGTCGTGGTAATTAGTGTTCAGGCACACGCAACACGTGGCTCAACCATCTCAGTCGATCAAGATTCACAAACCCATTAACTCATTTACCATCATCCCCTAATACCCTACGTTTAACCCCACTATTAATTACCCGGTGGTCCCAGCAGATGCGAGCAATATTTCTAAGACATCTGTGGTCAAATACTAGTAACTTACGAGTATATTCTACTCTAAATGGCCATATTTCGCAGCCGTAAAGTAGAACAGAACGAACTCCTGAGCATTATACTCGTCCTTTTATTAGTAGACGGATATCTCTCCTTTGCCATAAGTGACATAAGTTAGCAAAAGCCAAACGAGCTTTTCGAATCTGTGCTGAGATTTCGTCAGACAACAACCCATTAGGGCTGATCAGACTTCCAAGATAAGTGAAGTTGTCGACGCGTTCGACTACTTCACTCCCTATCCTTAGTTCAGGTGTTGACGCAGACCACTTCTGAAGCAACAACTCGCATTTAGAGGGAGAGAAGCGCATTCCAAACATTCTGGCATTGTTGTTTAGTGCTGCCAGAAGACTCTGCATTTTATCAACATCTTTGCCAAACAGGACTATATCTTGGTAGGAGATCAATCCTCGAGAATTCAGTCGATAAGAGCGTTATTTCCAGAAGTAGGTCAAACATATAGATAGTGGACAGCCTCAACGGACACCACTTGAGATTTCAAAATCGGACAACAGTTCGTCTTAAGCTGTGATTCGACTAGTAGTGTTGGAGAAACTTTCTGAACTAACAGGATTTATTTGATTTTCAATTGTTTACCAAAGCTGGCTAATGTCACTATCTATAAAACGATTGGAAAACACCGTGACCTGAAAGCCTGTCGACTTAAGTTTCTTATTCCTAAGTTATAAGCATCAACGACACTGCCTGGCATAAAACTATCCACATCCATAGAAGAAAATGATACTCTTAGATTACTAGAATTCATAAAGTTATGTAAATTACAGTCGCAATACCACATATAAGATAAATAATTATTATGGACTAAAAACTTAGTTCTATTAATTTATTTTTTATACCTTACCAAGTATTTCACCGGCTTTTTTCAAAACTTTAACAGTTAACACATCATTATCATCATTTCGATTGGTTATTTCATTCGATTGAATCAGATTAGTATGGTCTGGATTATTATTTTCAGAAATTGAACCGGATACTTGAGACGGTAATTTTTCCGTGGATTTCACTAATTTAACAGCCATTGGTAGACGTTGTAGTGAACTTATCAGTGTCGATTCGATAGGTTTCTGATCACTCATTATTAGGTTATTCTTATCAATTTCTGGTTAATATCTTCGTTTATCTAAAATAAATACACGTAATTTTTGTTACAAAATAAAGGTATTAACTACTTAAAAGAAACAAATGAATAGTTGATGGAGTAATTACCCATAGGCAACATAGTCGATATTTTGTATGGTAAACCTTCAGAATTAGTTTTGATTAAGTATGAAGCTTGATCTGACCAGAATAGTAAAGTGAAATGGGACAATATCGATAATCCGTATACAATCAATCTTTAAAAATGGTTTGTTTGATGGGAACCAATTAACCTCAAGCCCTGTGACCTATAAAGAAGAACTGATATTCAAACGTTTACATCGAAGTTCTGCTAAACGTATTCTAACTACTATTCACTTGAGCTACAAAATGTTTCTTTTCTAAAATCCTGGTAAATATGTCCGTAAACTTTTACTAACTCATAACTCTGAAAGTAAAATAAAACGACAGAGTTAAGAGTATAAAAAAATGCCAGACTATGTTCGCCACAAAAATTATGAAACGCGATCCTTATTACTAATATGATAACCTGTAAGTGCGAAGTCATCCGAAATATTTCGTTAAAACACTTGTCTACGTTGTTAATTTCGTACTAAATTTGAGAGCACATATTTATATATACATATTTACACATATTTTCCGCAACATTATATATTTTTGGACGTGCTAGTGTAACATAGAAGAAGTAGTGTAAAATATCATGATGTACATTTAACCATTTACCGAAAATCATTAACGAATATCTGTTTAAAACCATGTCATTAATTCTGAAATCCCATTTCGATTAGTGAATATCTTAACTAGAACAGTAGAATTTTGTATAAAAAATGTATACAGGAGTCTTAATCAATAGATTTTAATATTGAGATGACGATATTAATTAGATTCAGTTAAAACCTGCTTGATTAGAGAATGGGCTGTTAAACATCAACAAACTAAGGCACATTTGAAATTTATATAGTTAGCACCTAACTACTGAATAGAGTTTAAAGTAGCTCAACTTAACTACAGTAATTTAGTAATGATCAATGTATCAACCAAGAGCCTAGTTCATAACAAAAAATAATAAATGGTCTAAATTTCTTTTCTTATGACTAAGTAAGGTTGAAATATAAACTTCACATAAGAGGCTATTGAGAACTTTCATTGTAATTTCTCTGCACCACGGTTGAAATTATCGAGTTTGATTGAATCATGTCAACATCTCTGCTATGTTTGAAGCGATTACGAGTTCACCTAGTCTGCGAACGGAACAAAGACTCTGTGACCAAAGACCAATAAGCTAACTATTCTGATGAGTCCCAACCCCGCTAACTAGAGACAGATGTGGAAGTTCAAGAAAGGGAAATATATTCCGACAAGTCTAGTCAGAAATACACTCATTTATATATTGGTTTGTACACCCATTTTCGATTAATAATCAGAATAAACCACATATATGAAAAATAATTCATACAAAAATGTGGCATGTTAGACAGAATAAAATGTTATAGGGGAAAACGAAACAAATACTATACTGAGTGATCACCAAATTGAATTAAACGGAATCAATGTTGAATAAAAATCATAATGAGTAAATCAATCTAATTTTGACCCTTCATCCCGTCACAACAACCTCCACGAAATTATAATTGTAAATACGATTTTTTTGAGAATTCCACTAGTTAAATGGATAAAAGTGAAATACTACTAATATTGGTTATATATCGTTACAAACTCTTAGTGATCCTGAAACACTGACAAAATCAAGTACCAAGTTTTAGAAAAATACCATTTTATCAGTTTGAATATCTTCACTTTGGAATTCAAGACTGGAACTTTTATTCTGCAGACCAGAATTAGAAATCGTCAATAGTTTTATTGGATATCGACTTTCATCAATATCAGATCCAGAATGTTGATCAATTCCTTCTTCATTGTTCGGTGGTGCTAAGGCTATGTTATTTTTAATTCCTAAATTGGTTTCATCGAAAAGATTATTATCCGAAATCTGCTCATTGAAATCGTTATTAGGAATCTCACCATCACTTAGAGTTTGAGTGAAGAAAACAACACTGGCTAATTCATCATTTCCACTCTCTACTTTGATATCGATTCGAGATTTATTTGGATAACGAGCACATATTAAATATCCTTCAGAAGGAATAGTAGGAAACGTACTGGAGATCTCTAAATGATCTTTGTTAACGATAACAACATTATTAATCTGAAATATATAAGACATGTATAGTTATATTATTAAAACGTGAAAAAAATAAATGTATTATACTATGGTTTTAGATGATAACTAATTGTTGGTTTGTAGAAGAAAACTAAAATGCTGAGATATCCAAATCAACAAGATTACAGCTTTTCAATAACTTTCTGGTTTCCTATGGTTCTACTCTCAATATCAATTTGTAAAGAAAATAAGCTTCGATCTGAGATAAACAATCCAAAACTTTTGAATAAAACATTAGTGATGGGGTTTGAGTTGAATTCCAAAACTTCTAGTAAAACGTCATGTTTTGTAAAATCTAGTCACCTTAGGAATATAACAGATATCATCAAAGACAATGAATGTCGTACACACAATGTTACAAATTAACTGAATTTATGAACCAGTAGCCTAGAAGATTAAATAATGACCATGAGACCCAATTCCACCTTTAGCGAGCTTGTAGCGTGTGTACTATTAAGTTTCATAATAGGTCAAAACAGCTTATATTCTCTTGTTTATAATGGTTCTCTCTCTTAATCGTTGAGATCATGAATCAATTGAAGCTAGACCACCAAGAAAAACCTGGAAGCACTGGACAGCCGTTTCTTCCTAGTATGAGACTTTTCAGTAGTGAATACTAAATCATATCAGATATAACTTTCAAAACACAAAGTAAACATATCCATTTCTACCAAAACAGATGATACGACAAAAGTTTATGTATTCTAATATTTGACAAGTGAATAATTTAGTGAGAGAAAAAACATCATTTTGGAAGGTATACAGTTGAACAAAGTGAAATTAATCAGTATCTTATTAATAAACATGGTTTCTATTCAGTAACAAACATCTGGGAATTTCAGTAATAACTAATGCAATTCAATCAAACAGTATTATTTATTGTGAGAAGATAAAATAATTACTCAAACAAATCAAATTAGAGAATCTAAAAAAACAAGCCTCATCAGGTTAGAAAGACAATTTTCAGATCTTAATTAATGAAGAAACGTTATCAATGTTAACTGATTACCTAAACAGATTGTTGGAATGAGTTAAAATCGAGAAGTGAAAACGATAAATAACTAGGTTATCAAAATCAAAACTCCCAATGAAGAAATTATTGGAATAAAATAATTGACTAGATCCTTTTGTCAACACTTTATGATAATTCCTTCTGAGAAGTGGAATAGTTTCGATATACTCTGAATGTTTATTATTTAAAATGCATCGAAACTAATACTCCATATTCTCAAACGCTTAGTAATCAAGCTTATGAATGAGATCCTATCTTTTATCGGTTTCTTCATAATTAGAATGTATTCATAAAACAGGGTGAATACTATACCTAGTCTTTCAAATTTATTCGCTACGATGACTTCTAGTTTGCCTATCTACCTTCGCCATCTTGAAAACTATAGTAAAAAAAGTATCTTGCTTATACACTTCAAATCAATTTTATAGATCAACTTTGTGACCTTTGTAATAATGAAATAGATTGTTTTCATTATAACGAAAATGAATTCATTCACATTTACCACAAATCATAAAAAATAGAGAAAACTAACTTCAAGTAACTCATCTCCAATAGATAAGGTTCCATCTTTGCCAATAGGTCCTTCAGGATTAATTTCCATTATATAATGACGATGTTGATTTTCACCAAATATTTCGTCATCTTCTACAGTATCCCCGACGCCAATACCCAAACCACAATTTGAATTTTTGATGTCATAATATACTAACTACAAAAACATAAGTCTATAGTTAAATAATGCTATATATGTGTTGACGAAACATTGGAAGACATAGGAAAAAGTCTGTATAAACATGATACAACAGTTTGTTTTTGAGCTAAAGATACCGCCAGATTGGCATTGGTGAAATTAAAGGATAGGATACCATGAGAGAAATAAAAAGAGTGTGTTCGAAATTGAGAATCATGGGCATAATACGGTGTGTGTGGGATAAATATCCACACAGTTAATAATGTGGGTGAACGGGGAGCACAAACAATGGTAGGAAAATTTCCGAAATCATCAGACTAACTCAAGAAACTTGAAAGTAAATCGACAATAGCACTACCTCTATTAAAAATGGGACGTAGGATAAACTTTGAACGCATTAAAATACTTTAGAAAGGTCTCGGCGCTCATGAAGTAACACTGACAGCCGAAGCTTTGTATATATGGGTGAAGAAGAACATGATCAACAGAAGAGGTGGATACGATTAGCTACTCTATGGCAACCATTGATTGACTAACAAATACATAGACCTTGAAATATATCATTTGAAGTGATTCAGCGTAATACTACAAAAAGAAATGTCCGTTAATGAGATTTTATGGCATAAAAATACCTAACAACATCTTAAGTATACGTTCAAATAACTAATAAAATGAAGCTATGGACTGATAAGAACAGTAGGAAAAGTACATTCGGAGAGAATGTTTGTTTAATTATTTAGAAGGGATAAACACATAAATAAGATTGTGAAAAAATGATTGTTTGCGTGAGGTTTGAATTATTATCCGACACATATTTAATGATATATGGTTTCTTTCGTGTAGTCGAACGAATAGATCTGATTAAATACTCAAAAAAAGACACGAATGTACACCAGGAAATATATTACACATCATAATGTATGACAAATAATATACAGATGAAAATACAGAATACTTGTCTCAACTATAGAACTTATGGTTAAAAGAATTATGATGCATAGCTCATAATTCCAACTATGCAGATATATTTATTTTTAAAGTACAAAGAGGGAATTAAACATCTTCTCTAAATTCTATATCCCTCTTAATCTCTCAATCCCGATTGGACATCTTTATGCATTTTGCTAATTTCATTTTAACTGATTACCTAAAAGTGGGATGTTTAAATAGTGTTTCAATTTGTAAATCAGCAGTGATTAATATTAAATTCCCTCTTATCGAGGTATTATTCATTACAAAGATCTTATCACATGAAATTAATAATTTTTGGAAGAACATCTGAACCTGTCTGAATAAATTGTATTTTGTTCAAGCACTACAAAACAATCAAGGTTATTTATTAGGTCTTCTTCTATGATATTTTTAACGCTCGTCATCTAGTTGTATGACTCAGATGTTACTAGTGTTTCTGTAACAGAGAAATCAATGAAGTAACTTTCGTATCATGATAAATATTGTAAACTCTTGTGATAAAATAATGCTACATGTCAATATCTTTGTATCATGGTTTCATCTATATGACTGTAAAAAAAGAAGCTGTTTACTATGAGATATATACATGGTTATATAAATTAACTGGTGTATAACTGTCATAATAATACCAACGATAATAATATAGTTTCTTACCAATAATTCAACATCAGGATTGAATACATCTAACCACTTTTTCAACAAACTTTTATCATTACTATCCGTCTCATTCATACATTCTTCATCTATTAGAGGAACAATCAAATAAATAATGTGATATATATATAAAGGTAAGTAAAAGGAACTGAAAAATTAATCTTATTAGCTGATGAAGAATTTGAAACTTGATACATACTCAGAAATAGTTGTCTACTACGGTCGCATTGTTAGCGAGTTTTGTTCATGATTTTTTAATAAGATATTAGACTATTTATTTAAAAACTGGATAGACAGTAAAATTTTCTACGGATATCATAAATGATAAGATGAAAATCAATCATAGAAAGAGCTTACTAAGCACATTCAAAATCACTACAGGGAATATATCTCATTACTGAACATTGCTCTTGTTTATTCATGTACCTGATTAATTTGTAATCAAAGTTAGTCATGATAATTAGTGTTGGCCTTAACGACCTGGGAGCGTGACCGCAGAGCGCAAGGGACAACTACTTCAGGCGGGTCGCGCGCGGCCTTTTCCTGGAAGGTTTTTGACGAGTTAGCTCCGTTCTTCAAAGGACCTTACCGCTGGAGACGAAAATCCGTGAGGTAAGGTGAGGTGTGACATTTTCAGGGTCGACCTTTTCTAACCCCTTCTTTCCTTGTGAGAAGGCAGTATCGCTGCAGATGCTGGTTGTCAGAGGGAAACACCTTACTGCTATCACACCCCTCTACAGTCTTTCCGATTACTGCTTATACTTTTGCTACCTCTACCACTATTGGATTTGAATCGACAACTGCATCTATGTACTAATGTGGTATGGCAACTCGAAATGATGTACGTAAGTACGAAGTTCTACGTTGTTACTGACTGACTGACAACAAACTGTTATGGTTTTTATCATGGAACGTTGAAACTATAAAATCACATTTTACAAGATTCTTGATAATAAAATGGTGTAATAATAATGAAATTAATAATGAATACATCACAACTACAATATTGCGATATTATCCGGTAATCTGATGAATTATTTTAAACATACAAATTCCAATTAACAATAACTTGGTCGATAGGATTCGATCTGCACTAAAAAGACCTGACATACATGATATTAATCGCCACCCAGTGATCAATCAGTTGTAAATACATATCAGTCGTACAGGAGGTCAGTCGCGACCCGGATAGTCCAGTGGTTACGTCTCTGACTGTGAAGCTGGGTGACATGGGGTCGGACCCGTCAGGGAGCATCAGTCCTCTCAAGAATAATACAGGTAAACCTTGCTGACAAGTGCCAAGTAGTATGAAACCTAGGTTCAAGTTTTCCTGTTGGCTACTTTTTAACCAACATGAAACAATTAACCTATTGGATCATGTTAATCTTTCATGTTTCATAATTGAAACCAGAACAAAATATTTGAAAAAATTACACATGAATGTATGATACAATAATAATTAATATTTTTACACTGAATTTAGATAATAATTTTTTTTTTACCAGGTTGATTGAATTTACAATTATAAAAAAAGACAGAATCATCTTGAGAATCATATATAGATGTATCTGAATTATTCATTGTCGGTGATGGTGTCCGAGTTAAAACACTTTTCACATCAATACTAATATTATTAACATCTTCATTATTCAATATAGGATCATGTAGATTATTGTCTTCAAGCTGTTCTTTTTTATCATCACAAGGTGATATCACTATAAAAACATTGATAAAGGAAGTTTATAATATTTGGTTAGGTATTACAATGTTCAATGTATTACCTTTGTAGAAATTATTTTAACCAAATAACTTATATGGTATCTCAGAAAGAAAAAATGCTATAAGAGACCATGAATTATCCTCTAGCCTAACAAGATGTTTAAAGTTAATGACATTTTCCTAATCATTCATTCAGGACGAAATCATGATGAGTTATTCTGATTTTACCATTGCTGGTTTATCGATAATTTAATATGCATTGATATAAGTGATAATATATGACAAATGAGGATATCACGTGTAATTTTACTCTTAAAAATGTGAAAGAGTCGTTACTTATTGATATGCTAACCATATACTGAATACTTCATTTGTAAATTTCCATCAATTGTCCTTCACATTCTGTATGACTCTTCAAAGTCACAATTCCTTTTTATTTTCCCTTCTATTCTCTTCAACTCAATCTTCATAGTCTTCTGGGCGAGAGTACAATTTATGGACGAACCAATCACGTATAAGATAACAGGTCTCGGATTTTGGCGCGAAATTCACTCATACATTTGGTTAAATAGAGTCTTGGCATTATAGCTTATGTCAGTTCGTGATGAAATCCTTAAATCTAATTCCTAACCTTAACCATCAACTGCAAATCATAATTCGAATCACTCACACTAATTTCTAATCCTCATTTGGTCCTAGTTATCAGGTGGACACTATCAATATCAGTCTAGTGTCACTCAAAGGTCATCCATAGATTACAGTTTCACCGTCTTCTGCTGCCAGGTTTTCCACTTCCGAATACTGTTACAAACTACTTATGTCTGTTGACATAAGTAGCATACACCACAGTATCACTTATAAACATAGAATTATTAAACATAGTATGTAACTCAAAATTTACAATTAATATATAACATTAATTAAGTTAAATAAAACTAATTATTAGACTAGACTTTTAAAACAACAAAGGAATTTAATCATTAAAATGATCAAAATTATACATAGTAAACTAAAGATAGTCAATTCCAATTAAGGAATTTCAAATAATTAATATTTACATTTAGAAATTAACGATTCATGTAATTGAATTAACAAACAGAATAAGAATTAAAATAAACCCAACTTACAATGATTATTATTAGTTTGATTATTTCTTGAACATTTAATTTGTACATATTTAGTGTTACGACATATACTTTTAACTTTTTTCAAAGCTTGTTTACTTTCTAATCCCTCAAGATTCTGATAATTCACCTAGAATAATAATTAAGAAAATAATTTCAGAAAAAAAAAGGAAAAAAAGACAATTATGATGTGCATTACAAATTAATAAAAGTGTATTTTCAAACAAGTTAGGTAAATTATTTTATTTATTTATTTAAACACATAAACATTGGTACAAAGAAGGCACCAAATATACGTGCATCACATAAATTATCCGATTTATGTGAGGTCTGAGATACTGCCCGAGTTCCCAAACCGAAGCAGCTGGTTTTCTTACGGGAACAAAACCCCTAGCGTTTGACCTAAAGGTCTAATCCACAAGCCAGTGGAGCAACGTAAAGAGATGCAGTCCCATGGTTGCCGGTGACCAACGACTAGTTCATACGGCATTTATTCCTTCGGGAGCCCATGTGCACCACTGGTTTCTGGAATCAGGGTTTTCCAACTTTCCTAGGTGGATTCTTCATATCCACCAATCCGGCTAAAGCGCCCGACATTCGCTTTTCGTCCTCTGTAGTTAATTTAATTGTCATTTTTTAAGCAATAATTTATTTTCAGAAAGGGGTTTCGGGGAGATTGTAGTAAGTTTAATAGTTGAATTCATGAGTCAATCTAAGCTAGACCACCATGGAAAACCTGTAAGCACTAGATGGTCATTTCGTTCTAGTATGAGACTCCTCATCAATGCGCATCCACGGTGGTGCGATTTCGTGGGTTTGTTGAATTCAGATATTTACCTCGTTGGATGCTGGCCGGCTCAGTAGTCTAGAGGTTAAGCACTCGCGCGCGAGACCGAAGTTCATGGGTGCGCACTACTGAGGAGTTTTATATTAGGACGAAATGGCCATCTAGTGCTTCCAGGTTTTTTATGGTGGTATGGCTTTAATTGACTCATAAACTCAATTATTAGAGAATTTACTTATATATTTATTTATTTTAATTTTCTCGCTAATGTGTACTAAGTAGAGTTTTTTTAAATAAATGGTTGATATCAATCAGTTAATGTACTGAAATCAATCCACTTGAAAATGTCTAAATTACATAAAATGTTATTTGATCTTCAAAACTGAATTAGTATTTATGAACACATATTCTAGACGGGTATATTGATTCTATTCCACATTGAAAGACGGATTTTCTTTTAATTCAATATTCCTACATCGAATTATCAGTTGTATTAGTTATTATCTGAAAATTGTATGACATAATGGAATAATACATTTACAGTTTTATTTCCTCCACTGAACATGGTTTCAGAAATTGTCCCATGTTACATTTTTCAGATATTTCATAAGTATCAAACATTGAAAAACTTATTCAGGACGGCATATTATCAATTATGAAATCAGTTTCTCTATTTATGAAACTTCAAACAACAAACTACACTATTTATAGACTAATTATTTAATTAATCATAGTGAATTGTGACCTCTACAGTCACTCCTAGAGTGTAGGGTAAGTTTTACTTTGAACAAGTACTGTAATTTATTAAACCGCTATAGGATCAAAAAACTTCAGAGAACTTTTAAGCGTGTTTTTTCTGAATTTTTTATAAAGGAAAATCTGTGTTTCCAAACTTCACCAATTGAGCTTTCAATATGGAGTTTTCATAAATAATTTTGATCACAATAATAGTAATCTGTTATTTCTTAAATTGCACTAATCATTGGTTACAATTTTAAACAAAATTACCTCAATTACACGATCACCTTCTCTTAAAACACCATCTCTTTCAGCTTGACTATTTTTGAATATAGATACAATGTGAATTCCTGTATTATCTGTTAGATTTATTAAAAAATGACAACACAATAAACGATCATTCAGTCATCCTAGATTACAGACAAAAATAACTTAATCAATATGTAATATTCGTCAGTTCTCAGATATTCCTACTAACTGTGTAATGGAATTCAATTCTTACTAAAATATTAGGAGTAAAACTGAATATTTCACTGTAGTTAATTGATAATGATAAGTCACAGTCTAGTGTAACGACATATTTCACTTCGATAAAAATCTATAATTTACTCTCAGGGTTTTTTATACTTTGGATGACGTAACATCTGTTTAACGAAAAACTATGTTACCAGAGAACAGTTCTTAATTGTATTTGTAAAATCTCAGCGAATGAATTTGAATTTAATCCAACGTTTCGTTTAGCAATCTGGTCCAAGCTGAGATTTTACAAATACATTCTTCTTCTTTAATGTCTCACATCAACTGGGCGCCCAAATACTATGAAACTATTCGATCAAATTTAGACGAAAGTTCTTATTTAATAATACATCCTTATCATTTCTCTTCAATAATTTGTCAGATGTAGATTTAATATTAATGAACTCTCATCATCATAATGGTAATTGGTATCTGGTAGGATCATAAAGCATTTCAGTTTATCACAAAATAATATTCATGAACACTTCACAATCATATTACATCATACCTTGATTGGATCCTATCTGTAGACCAAGTCCATTGTCATTACCTTCATTTTCAAGAACTGTTTCATAACAACTGAATGAACTGTTATTCTCTGTCGTCTACAATTTAAGAAATCAGTAAGCTTGACAAAACTGTTGAATTTAAAATGGTTTTTATAAACTTGTTTAAAACACCTAATTAGTTACAACGTTTTGTCAAAAAGTTTCTATAAATATTTCTAAAATCAAAATCCACTTGATGTTATTTGCTTGCATCTTCCTATTGTTGTTTAGGACTGCAACTGATCAGTCTCTTGTTGGCATATGTGCATCATGTGAGGACTGCCTCGATATTGCCTTAAGTCACAAGCTCCATAACCAAAGATGGAGACTGATCAATTGTAGTTCTAAACAACAATGGGAAGATACAAGTAAACAACATCAAGTAAATTTAGTACTTCACCCCATTGCACAAGCAAGTGGCTATCAGGACTCAGTAGCTAAGTGGATAAGGTGATGGCGTTTGAAGAGAACAGTACTGAGTTCGAGTGCCATACTGGACATCAACTCTGAGATGCAAGTACTTCCAGATGACAAGTCTCAAGTAGGACGAAACGCACGTCTTGGATTCCACTGCTGGCCAATACCCATCTTTGCTTATAAAATCGAAATCTTTTGATATCCCAATACTTTGTCACAAAATTATATGATCATAAATTAACTGCCTTTAGTGTTGCTACATTTATATGAAGCAAAATTCAAATGATTTTTGGCGATCAGTAAATAGATTGCTTTGGTTATTTATGCCATGATAGCCTGAATAGTTATTTTAGGAATTGTGATTGTCTATGGATTATTTGATTTTGGAAATTAAGTATGAATTGAACTTACTGGTAATTCATTTGTCTCGTTATTAGCTATTTGATTGGACCACAATGAATTTGACTTTGGATAACGAAAGATGACAAGAACTGGTGGTTTAAAATTTGTTAAACTAGTTTGCTCGCTAGGAACTTTATAAACACTACTATTTCTATTATAATTATGATCGCGGGAAATCCCAGTGTTCTGATAAGGCCTATTAAGTAGATAGTTTGCTAAATCGTAAATATTTGAATTTGGTGCCAATCCATCCAGTTCAATTAGCTTGTATCTTAGTTGTTCTAATGTATGCCAGTCTAATGGGTAACCTGATATTGAATATATACGATCCCCCATATGCAAATCCATTGCACTGTGATAATAAATAAACAAAATATACAAACAAATATAAACCTCTTGTCTTATAGCTCAACTTTTAATTCTTTTGAAAGCATTTTCAAGTATATATATGTATATATACTGGTAAAAAAAAGAAAACTCTTCTTTTAAGCACACAAAACAAAAATGTAAGTCAGATTATATTTAGTTGATTTGGGAAGCTTATTAAAACACTTCAAAGCCTTTTATTCATGAATCTTATGAAACATACGGTATAAGGCAACCATATACATATAGTACAATCAGTTGAAAGGGTAACAGTCTTTGCTACAGCTTTCCAAATTCGCACATTATATGCTAAAGTAAGGGGGTTCATAAGCTTAAACTAGGCGAGTAAACATATGTTTCCACTTGAACTAACATATGCAGCAATCTAATATTGACGTCCTCATGACAATGTTTGGAGTCATCACAATTGACAAAATGTCTAGATAAATAACTTAATTACTAAATTTATTCAACAGTAAATTTACGATTAATGCTTCATACTTGGAAATCATTCTGGTAAATAGTGTAATAGAAATCATTGAATGTGTTTGCGTTAATAAAGACCATTTCTAATACTAAAAATGGGTATTAATTTGTAGAATAACTTGCTTAAAGCCAAAGGCACACTCTTGTTAACCTTTAGAAAACTGTCATAACCGATTCCACTGCAAAACGACATCTTCAATGTTTACCGATTTTATTGATTCACAACCATAACAGGCTGTATATTAGAACTTTTGTCTAAATTTGACCGAATAGTTTCATAGTATTTGAGCGCCGAGTTGATGTGGGAGATTAATGAGGGGGAAGTATTTGTAAAATCTTAGCGAATGAATTTGAAGTAAGTCCAACGTTTCACCTGGCAATCTAGTCCAAGCTTCTTCAAGGAATTATAATCAAACATCAAAATTATCGAATATCTTACCTTCCTCATTAATGTCACGAGATTACTTAATAATTACTGTCTTCAAAGTGCTTACTTTGAGGAACTGTACACAGTCATATGTAATATTTAGGACAATATGATGAAGACAATCTTAATGACTGAAATCAACATTTATCGTTAAGAGTGATAGCTGAATATCACTACAACGTATAAACCAAGTAAATAGGTTATATTTATTCATCCATATCTAATTGTGATCACTTCTTGTTTTTCTTACAAAATAGTGATTTTTCATTAATGGTGGCTATGATCCGATGTATGAGAAGCCAACACATTTAACTGTAGTGCAGAAGGTAAATATTTACTATTTATATAGCACTGACCCTCTTGACCTTTAGTTAAAACAAAATTAAAGACACATTACTCATTTTTGAAATACCACTGCAAATCAGCTAATTAAAAATTCTGAATAAAATGGTATCTTTCACTTTCTTAACCTAAACTATCTAGGGCTATCAACCGGTCTAGATACTAGACTCGCTTGATTATTAACAATCCAGCACCATTGTAAAACACCTATTAGAGCCTAGTACACTGAGCTAATGTGATCACTGAATTTTATTATGTTTTTAAGAAAATCATTAAGTTTTATCCTGTTTGTGATGCTCCTTTAATGTGCTGTCAAATAATCGACCAATGAAAAACATCTGATGTCATGTTGTGTATATTGTGATAGGAGAATTTAGTAATTCAAATTAACAAGATGAAGACTGAACTGAAAAAGTCAATACTGAGTTGGAATTCTAAAAATATACAATAGTTATGTATGATTAAGAGAAAGCTTTGAATTTAAGCTTTCAATTTATTGACAATTAATAAGACATATCTGAAACCCTGGCGAAAATTACGACATCCAAAGAATTTTACTATTGAAATACGGGAGAAGCAAACCACCTTATTCGAATCGAACAACTACACTATAGTTACAGGTAAACCTTAGTGATGAATATAAGTGCATAAGAATGGGTTAACTGATGGTATAAGTACCATTTATATTAGCAGCTGTGTGATGATTCTATACAGACAAATAATATAAAGCATTCGGAAAGATAAAATAGTGATATATTCAACTATTTTACTAGATAGCAATCGGAAAAAGACAGTCATGACTATTTTGTATCAGATCTACACATATAAGAATACAAAATAACAATTACTCAACATTTATATACATATATCAGTCGTTAATATTCACAATAATTCAACAAATCACATTGTCCAACATAAGGTGCATTGACTCCGCTTAATTATTGATTATACTAGAAAACTAATTAAGTAAACAATCTATCAACCAACCGAAGCCATCTCAACACACGCACATATAAAGATATACACAAAATATCACACCTATTCTTTATATGCTTTTTTTTCAATGTAATGTAAGTTAGTTCTAAAGGACAGAATAATAAACAACATAATCTTTGTGATGACAGCAACAAACAGTCATTCTCGAACTTTTGTTAAGTCAAAAATATAAACAAACAAAATAATTGTAAGAATTACATAATGAGTGAATTAATCAATGCAATCATGTGGTTTATATGAACAGTTACTAAATATATAACAAAACAAAAAAGAAGCGACAATTGGTGTTAAGTACATATTCGGATTATATAAACACTTGTTAATAAAATAGTTTGCACAGAATAAAAACAATACAACTAAGAGGATAATCATATTTTTTCATTCCTCAATCAAAGCATGATATCCAACTTTTATTGAACATTTTTCTGTCCATTTAATGTGTCTATTCTGCATAAAAGAGTGTAATTCTCACTGGGGACATCATTTTAATCATCTAAAACTATGAGCATATATCTTCTATGGACATGCATCTAGACTTGACTCATTAAAAAGTAAATAAAATGAAATGTGAAGCTTGAAATGTAATCCTCAGTGGTAATTATGCTCTTATATGAAGCACTTCTTTACCAAATGAACGAAAAAAAGGCTAAATATTGCACAAACATTAAGAGATGCATAGATACGTATTTTATCCCTAATACAATTTACAAAGCGACTATCGTAACCTATGGTTGGAGACTCTTGATGACATGGCTCAGAATCGATCACAATGACGTAGGTATATACACTCTCTGTCTTCCTTTAAAATCACTTCATATCTTTCTTTCTACGTACTAATTCTTTCTTTCTATACTATGTTCTTATATGCAATCTTTCTTTTATATATTACCACCATTGAATTAACTACTTCTATGAATATGGTGTTCATCTTGTTATGTTAATGAGTTATGGCAATTTGGATCGATGCACATATGTGCTTGGTCCTATGTTGTAGCTGACTGACTGACTGACTGACTGACAATTTACAAAACAAAATGAATTCATCATTTTAATTCATGATGTTTCATCAGCTGTAAACAGTTTAAAATTACAAGGAGTTGATGAAGTTGATATGGATTTTCTAATTAGAACTGAAAATCCTAATAAAAAGAATACAATGTACAATGCGATTAAACATAAATAAGAATGACACTTCTAAATAGGTGTTCTTTCAATTTAACTATTACACAGAACAAAACTCATTCGTTATATTTATTCGCCAATAACTAAGTATAGATTTGTTTACTCATGAATGAACTACACACTTTATAAATAAATTAAGATAGTTGTAATATCCCATGAGTAAAAAAATTAAATTTTCTGATGTTTTGTGATTCAGTGTAAGTCACTTCTTTAGAGAATAAATAACCAAATCATTGAAATATTACAAGTATATAAATTTATTTATAACAATCTATCCAATACTCAATTTATTCGAAATTATCAAGTCAAACAATGGTAATGGTACCTATATGCATATTTTATGTAAGAGTTAGTAATATCAGTCAATGACTCAAACCAAACTAAGTGAATTTTAAACCTATAAGCCATGTTGATGAAAGTTTGTATTATTATTATCACCATCAAAATTATGAATTAAAAGTTTCAGAAGTTAAACTTAAGTTCTTTCATTTATCTGACATGATACATAGTATATTGGTTATTTCAATATATTAAATGTTTATTATTAAATATCCAAAAAAAGATAACATTCATTAAAGGTAATAAACTTCTCAAATTTACTACTTCTAAAATTCATGTACATACTTTCAAGTAGTATAGTAATATAATTTATTATCATTAAAATACATACAATCAACAGTTTATTGAATTCGATAATGAATTACATTTTTTTTTTGAAATTGTATGAAATTACAAAATGCTCAAAATGTAAATTTATATTTATTACTTTAGTTGTATAAGGTAAACAAACTTATAATGGTGATTAGTGAGTATGACCTTAACAACATTCTCTATCATAAATCTAATAATTAAAATCAATTAAACATTTACGAAGATATATATTTATATATCCGTTTCACATTTATAAATATTCTTCATTGACTAAATCAATAAATGACTTAAAAACAAATAAACAAACAAAAACAACTGAAAAACTTTATTCTAATTGTTATGTCCTTAGCTATATGATTACCGTGAATTACGACTGCCAATTTAGATACGCTGACTTATACGACCCAACTGATGATGCATAAAGCAGTACGAGCAGCCTAAAGTTCTGACTGGTCCCTTTTCCCAGCTAGTCCTTTCTCTTAAGTCCAGAACGCTAATATCAACCTCCGAGATACGAGTCATATATTTCAAGCATACTTGGTTTATATACAAGTAAAATAACACCACATCAAATCATAAATAGAAAATAACATATGTACAAGATCAAACCAAAAGTAGCTGTGATTGTAAGTAAATGTTATTTGAAAATTGGGAATATCTCAAGAATAAATCGTGTGATATTAATCAACAAGTCAAATAAAAGCTTATCAGTCAGTCAATCAGTCAGCTACAACGTAGGACCAGGTACATATATGCGTCGGTTCAAGTTGACATACCCCATTAACATAACAAGATTAACACCATATTCATAGAAGTAGTTAATTCAATGGTGGTAATATATAAAAGAAAGATTGCATATAAGAACATAGTATAGAAAGAAAGAATTAGTACGTAGAAAGAAAGATATGAAGTGATTTTAAAGGAAGACAGAGAGTGTATATACCTACGTCATTGTGATCGATTCTGAGCCATGTCATCAAGAGTCTCCAATCATTGGTTACGATAGTCACGCGGACCCCAAACAAGTAGTCTGCATCTACCAACGTGGTTCAGAATAGAAGTTAGTGTCTTCAAGCACTGATGCCACGTTTCGGTTTGACCGCACCTTACTCTCTTCCAACCATCCCCAACACCGGTTAGCATTGCGCGTCGTGGTAATTAGTGTTCAGGCACACGCAACACGTGGCTCAACCATCTCAGTCGATCAAGATTCACAAACCCATTAACTCATTTACCACCATCCCCTAATACCCTGCGTCTAACCCCACTACTACTTACCCGGTGATCCCAGCAGATGCGAGCAATATTTCTAAGACATCTGTGGTCAAATACTAGTAACTTACGAGTATATTCTACTCTAAATGGCCATATTTCGCAGCCGTAAAGTAGAACAGAACGAACTCCTGAGCATTATACTCGTCCTTTTATTAGTAGACGGATATCTCTCCTTTGCCATAAGTGACATAAGTTAGCAAAAGCCAAACGAGCTTTTCGAATCTGTGCTGAGATTTCGTCAGACAACAACCCATTAGGGCTGATCAGACTTCCAAGATAAGTGAAGTTGTCGACGCGTTCGACTACTTCACTCCCTATCCTTAGTTCAGGTGTTGACGCAGACCACTTCTGAAGCAACAACTCGCATTTAGAGGGAGAGAAGCGCATTCCAAACATTCTGGCATTGTTGTTTAGTGCTGCCAGAAGACTCTGCATTTTATCAACATCTTTGCCAAACAGGACTGTCATCTGCGTATTCTAAGTGGATAAGTGGACCTCGTGGAAAGAGATCAATACCTGAGAATTCAGTCGACGAGAATGTTATTGCTACCTTGACGTGGTGGTCGGGCTTGCCTATGGTGATGAATCAACCGAGCTATACTTGTTGGAACAACCGTCCCTTAAGGTCCTACCATGTCAGACAGGTCGGTTGAAGAGCAGTAAGACTAAAAGCAACAAACTCAAGGTTCGAAGGTGAAGTTGTTCTGCTGACTGTACGGAGGTGTGGCAGAAGTAAGGTGTTTTCTTCAGACAACCAGCATGACAGCGATGCTGCCTTCCCACAAGGAGGGGTGGGGTTAGAAAAGGTCGACCCCAAAAATGCACACCTCGCCTTATCTCACGGATATCCGTCTCCGGCGGTAAGGTCTCAACAAGTACGGAGCTAACACAGAAATTACTCATAAAAAGGTTGTGTGTGACCGACCTCAAGCAGTTGTCCCTTGAGCACTGCGGTCACGCTCTCAGGTCACTAAGACCACCTCTAATCCAACTCCCTTTTCAGACACCTCTAGAAGAACCTCTCCACGGTGTGGGCAACCGGGAAGTGATAACCGCCCTCATACCTCTACCTCTAACAGTACTCAAAACCACTGTATTCATAAAAGCTTATAATGAAAGAAATACGAATATACATAAAATACAGTTACTTAATATTCATACAATAAAAGTACACGTATAATATTGATCCGTAAGTAATTCCTAACGGTTACCATTCATTTATTCTCGTCCGGATATAACACATATCTTGATTGAATATAATGACTGGAGTAAAATATTGTTAAGATATTTAAACAATAAACTGAAACCATTGAAAGCAATTAATTGATTATTGTTAGTCCTTTAAATAAGTTATCATTCTGTTATTTAATTGGTAACATTCAAATTATACAATAAAATAAAATAAACATAACAAATTAGTTATTACGCAGTAATCAACTGATGTAAGTTGTATGATCAGATAGATGAAGGTAAGCAGTATCTAGATTTGTAAGATATAATGGTTGGTAAAATTACTTAGTTATTAAAATTCAACGAAGAAACCTTATTCAACTTCTAGAAGAATCATTATGGTTACAACGTACATCAACAGTTTGTAATTTAACAACCAATGAGAACAGATATTTATGCTTGTTATATATCATATTGGGTAAGAAGTATTTCGGATAACTCATACTGAGTGAGTTTTTCCTAAAATGTTATTTTTCAAAAGATAAATTCTTGATTATTCCATCTTTTTCTGCTAAATAAAACTGGCTTAACACTAAATACCATTAAGAACAACTAATACAGTGATTTTGTTGTTTATTTGAAACGATAAAAAAATCAATTTCTAATATGCAATTAGATGAGAAGTTAATTACAGTAAAGTAATACTTACTTGCTTGCTGGACTACCATGTTCTACTCCTGAAACAAATAAATTTTCTACTTCCCCTTTAATGACTGCTTGTCGAAGAACAATGCCTGACCTTCGATATCCAAATCGAGGTTGATAATCAGGCAACTGGATAGTGAATATACCTGTACCGTACGGTAAATGTAAGCCAGTGATTCGTTTTTTAAGTTGATCCATTGAGAATGGAGGCAAACCTGTTTGAACTTCATTTATGTTTGCATAAGGTATATAATTGTCCAACTCGTCCTAAAATGAGCAGAACATTGTTGTATAAAAATCTTTGAAATTGATCTATATGATATAAATCTGTTTGACTGTAAATTACAAGAATATATTTTAGCCAAAGTATTAGGTAAAGACTTATATAAAAAAATTAAAATGAATCAAGGTGGATTTTCAGTTTCTATCATTGTCATGTGTTTATAATACGGAGATGAAAGAGAAACTTTAAAATGCACGCCTTTTGTAAGAAAAAGCAAATAATTATGGCTTATGAAATATTGTCTTTTAATCTAAGGTTATTGATATAAAATGTTTATAAGATATGTCAGTAAGTACATATCATTTGCAACATCTATTTCAAGCAGTAAAATGGTCAGATTAAGATATCTTATGAAGTTATTTGATATCTTAAACTGATATCAGTTGGATAACTCTTGGAAATCAGGTATAACTGGACAATCCTTTTATCCAAGTATGAGACTGCTCAACCCGAAACCCTATTGAAGACGTAGTCCATGACGTTTAGGTCCTGTGAAGCAATTTTTTTAACTACTGGTTTTCAAACCAGCCGTTAACATTTAAGGCTCAGGCTTATTAGCAAAGTGAGCCCATAATAAGTACCATCATTGGTATATATTTTCCTCGCATTATGATCGAACTCCATTCGATAAGGTGAATAGCTTGAGAATCCCGTCTTCAATCAGTCCAACTGTAGCTATATCACTATAAATAAATTTGGAAGTCCGTTCCAACCATTTAACTTATAGCTACTTTGTATCAATAGGTCGAACAACCTCCATAAGCTCTTTAACTCATCAGGACGCTTTTAGTGTTCTATCGACTTCATTTTATAAAAAGAAGCATTTATTTGTAAATTATGTATTCTGTCACTCAATTAGACTAAGTTACAGATAATAAATTAAAGACTCCAGTAACTAAAATATCTATACGGTTATTGGTATAATTATTGGTAACCCTAAAAGTCTTTTAGTGCACGTTAAGTATATTGCTTATAGCTCAGTAATATTCTCCAATTAAACAGAATTTCAAGATTTGATCTTTGAGACAGAGAACTGAGCATCATTATCAGCCATCTAAAACCTAATTTACCTACTCAAAATACACTGTACTGATATCACAATTTTCATTTTCAACATTACACTCTTGCTTTAGACGCATGTTATTTTTCTCATGTCCTCAACTTTAGGATCTGTTGCAGATAAAGTCTCATAATCCAAGCTTTGGACATTTAATAAATCAGACAATCTAAAGTTTCAGTCTGTCTTCTGATGATGGCAATACAAGTCGTATTACCAAACACTTTCCTCACTCCTTGGCCTCTCAGTTTTTTTTTATTTGTATAACAACCTTCTACTTATTCATTAGCTAGTCAAATTTGTAAATTTTGAGCATTATGTCCACTAACTTGGATTTTAATTATCCTAAAAATATATTTTCTAATAACTAGACAAATAATTTTCCTGGTAACTTTGTGCACTTAGTATTCTTAAATACTTACAGTATTATTTATTTTGTAGTATGCTAAATACATAACATGAAATTAGTAAACCTATGTCATCCTGATAAAATTTCATTTGTTTGCTTACTTCATGATGCAGGAGAAAAGGACAATACGAAATATAAATTAATTCACTGTGAGACGCGATAAAAAATTCCAGAGGAAACACCAGATCCCTTAAATTGAGAATGATTGTGTTTAAGAATACAAACTAGCTGACCATCTCCAATCAAGTGGCAGTAAGTAGTCATATTAGCTTAAGTTCAAATCTTCCCAATCTTACACGCAAACTAAGACCAAATCGATGTCCATTTACCATTAAACGGACGTTTTTCATTCTATGTGTTGTTTCAAACATTAATAGCCAGTTGGAGATCCTCCTACCGCACCATAAGTCGAAGGGCTAAACTACTGCAGTAAATCGTTAGGTATAAGATACATTGTCAAGATGAGAAGAGGTATTTCTAATTACTTACTATTTAGGTCTACTGGTCAAGGAAGTAGTTTTCACCATAAGTGTTCTGCAACAAAAAGCAGCCAAGAATTGAGGAAGTTACTAACCCTCAGTATCTGACAATGACCAATTTCACAGGATATTTTTTCAATATTCATTCAAATTACCATTGAGTAACTAAATACTTGAAAGTGATATTCTGGTAGAACTAAAAGTAAAACCTTAAAGTTGTTGCATCAGTACGCACTATTTCTAATTTGTTCATCTGCATGCATTAGAAAGCATAAATTAATGTGTATTGCACAGCAGTACCGTTAATAACCTTACTAGATGAATGTTGGGTAGTTGAGGTAACTTGATGACTAAGTGCAAGCTCATTTATTTGGACTGAGATTAAAATTTTCATACTTGGTATAGTGGCAACACGCGAGTAAAGGAACCTATGTAGATGAATCCAAATTTGGAATAGTACTCAGTATACCTCCGCTTTGTGCTGAATATCAGGGTAACCGAATAGGTATTAAACAAGAGTTTCGTAACTGAAAAGGTATTTATATTTTTATCAGTAAAAAGTTATACACTCCTTAGATATTTTTAGTGAATATGTTAAGAGACTTCAACAAGTTTGAAAAATGACGTTAGACTAATAGTCATAGAAATTATTTTGCTAGTAACCAGAAAACATATGCGTAACAATACTAAACTGGGCATGCAGATGTAGCAGAACTTCTGCTTTAAGGCCAAAAAGATAGCGAAGTGATTCTATTTGTAGTCCGTGAGCAAACTTTAAAAGAGCGATGGCTATACCTACATAAAATCTTAGGGACAACGAAAACAAAGTTCACTAAATGACGTCCCAAAAAGCGGGTAGATGGACACCACAGGTGAATTTAACAAACAAATATTACTTAAAGTAAAGAAATGCATATCTTGATGACTAGGATATTTTTGGCATAAGATTGGTCAGCCGGTTATGCTCGACATAAAACCTGACAAATATGTGGATAAGTTCAAGTTCCCACGGCTAAACAAATCTGTTCTAATAAGAACGAAATTTGGGGAAATAAACATGAGGTTCTGTAAGGCTAAATGATGAGAATTTTGAAGAAAATAAAATCAGTCCACTTTTTTTTACCTTGATCTCGAAAAACAATGAAAAGTTCGGTTAAACTGACTATTTTAACGAGCACGTTTCCAAATTCGAACCTTATTTTCCGCAATCCATTTCACCAAAGCTTCGAAAAAACTCGTCTTTTATGAAGCCCTTCTCGATGTCGACGGACAAAAGTATTAAATTCACCTAGATCAACAAGACTTTATATTAACCTTAACTGTGTCTTCATCACCTAGTAGTATATGTAAGTTGATCCAAATTTAAGACTCTAAATCTTCATAATCTAATGACAATAAATTAAATATTATAGCAGCACGCAGACTGGTTATCCGATAATTTTTGTATTCTTACCAAAATAGAAGGACGATTAACAATGTTTACAATATCATAACATCTGACCAATAACTCGGATTGTAACATAGAATATACATGTTCAGCCAAACGGTTCAGGGAAAAGTTTCCTTTACTTTTTGATTCTTGAACCAATTTCAGCACAGAAGATCTTACTATCTCTACCATAAAACGATGAAATATGTTTGATGGAAATTACCGAAATCCATCACACGTTATACACAGCGCTGGTTAGTATAGCTTTGAGTGAGCAAGGTAGAAGGCAGCTTAAACAAGAAACGGTGAGAAGCGATTTGCACTCTTTGGTCACTAGCATTTACCTGCCTTTTACTTACTTGCTTCGTGAAGTACTTTCAAGCAATATAAATTCTTCAGACAATTAAACCTCCAAAACAAGTAGTATTCAAAACCCATTGCTTTTTTGATTCATTAGTGTAGATCAGTTGATCTATTGTACACCCTGTTACGTGTCTTAGCACTGTCCACTGTGAGTAGTCTTGCAAAAAATAAAACACAATTGTAATGTTTACTAGCGTCTTCTGTCTTTCTGATTTACTTTAAGAACTCATACAGCTTATGCCTATTGAGTTATTTTCGTCTTCTTAATAACTCTATCTTCTCCATAAGTCATTACAACATATAGCACATGTACATACCTTAATTTTTTGCTTGTTAATTTTATAGTTGAGCGTCTTTTATTGTGCTTGTAGGGTCAGTGCAACGTCACTGAGCCCTAGCCAAATCATCAGGCAGTCGGATTACCGATTGCCGAACAGTCCACCGATCCCCCTCAGCGATAAGGTCAATCAACATCCATTAGTTATTTACACGCCATATGCAGTAGTGGTCATACTCTGTTCCTTGTTCCTACTCAAACTAATATATTTCTGTAATAACCTTGTTTGTGTTTTACGGTAATCAGATTAGCCATATTAATTAGATAAGACGAAACGGTGATCCGTGCTAGGTACCAACCGTAAGGTGTGACTTTTGAGTCAGCTGGCTGGTCACATCATTCTCGTCTAACTCAAGTAGGCCCCCAATCATTCGACATAGATCATCTACGTTGGTGATCTATATACTTGTGAGTGCCTATAAATCTATTTATCCTACACAATATACATCACTTTACTTGCGTTATTTAGTGTGTGATTAGAATTGTACGAACACTTATAACAAGGAATATCTTGGTTTTACACGTTTCTTATCACCGATTCGTGTATGTTCATTTGTTTGCACTGATGGATGTGTGAAACGCATGTGTTTGAAGAAACTCTGGTACTTAATTTTTGACATTATATCACTAGGTAATATGATGAAGTCAATGAAAATACATACGAAATTAATTTGTAATTTCACATAATCTTTCATTGTTGTTACTGATTTGAGGTGAGTATTACCACGAAAGTCTAGCCACTGGGCTGCTGTACTCTTAGTGAGTCTCACAGTTATTTGGAGGCTAATATTTTTTGTTCTTTCATATTTGGTATAAGGAGAAGATAATCGTCGGAAGTGGACAACTTTATTATGCACACACTGCAAACAAAGGTGGAGGAATAATAAATAAAAAGAAGGTGGCAATCAGTGAAGCGGGAAGGAAATGATGGGGATAGTAGTCATTATAATTTACGAAAGACACATCAGTCACATCTATTACATATGAAAAACGGTAAGGCACAGATAAACACACAACTGTTAGGTTTACTCTTGAGACTATCCACTGAACAGGCCATGGCCAATATGCATTTCCTGTGGTGAAACAGCTCACTCAAAGATAGCCTAGGGTTACTGGATAACTTATTATGCTTTTTAACTCCTCCTGTAGCTCTTCTAGGGTTACTACCGGTCCCAAGGCCAGGCAAAGAAGAAAACAACCTTGGTAAAGAAAAGCTAACTTTAACAAACGAATTAAACCATTCATACTCTACATAAGAAGTTGAAGGATCTTCATGAAAAAGAATTGTGAAACCTCATAGTGTAACCCGAGATCCTTAGAGAGCCAAGAAGATGATTGCACTTCTAAAAACCGAACCAGCAATTAATATAGGTATATGTAGTGTTCGCACAATTTGAGAGACCAAGAAGACCAACGAAATAGCTGCTGAAATGAGGAGGTCCAAATTGACAGTGCTCAGAATAAGTGAAAACCTTTGTATACAAGCTGAACAGCGAAGGATAGATTAGGGAGAGATTCTGCTGTACTCCGGTCATGAGGAGGAAAATGCTCCACACACTCAGAGAGTTGACCCCACGATATCCAAAGAAGCACGTAAAGCACTTGTAGGACGGGAATCTCATGAACCGAGAATCATCAAATCATCTTTCAAAGAAAAGAAGGGAGAATCGGAACGAATATTATCCGATGTTGTGCACCCAATAATCGTAGCGGCGGCGACGACGATAGAGATCAGTTTTATGAGCGGATGTAATCAACTGTAGCAAAGTGCTCAGTAGAAGACCTGATCACCGTGATGAAAGACCTAAACACCAAAGCCGGAATGGACGACACCGGGTTTGCAAATATCATGGAAGGACATGGACTTGCAAAAAGAAACGAAAATGGGGAGAGATTTGCAAATCCATGTGCATTCAGCAACCTGGTTATAGGCTTTACAATATTCCCCCACAAAAGCATGCACATAGTTACATGGGTCTTACCGGATTACACAACATGAAACCAGATCGATCATATTTGTATCACTAAAAATTGTCGAAGGTCAATGGAAGACGCAAGAACCAGGAGATGTGCTGGCATAGGGCGAGACTATAAGTTATGGACAAACCAATCACATACACGATAATGTGTCGTGAACTTTATCCATTTGGTTAACTAACGTTTTGGCATTTTAGCTCATGTCGATTCGTGATGAAAACCATAAATCTAATTTTTAACTCTAACCATGAACTGTAAATCACAATTCCAATCCCTCACACTGGTTCATAACCCTCGTTTAGTCCCAGTAAATAGATGGACATTCTGAAGGTCACTTCAGTGTCGGCCCAAGGTCGTTTTTAAATTGGTCTCACTCTGATATGGCTTCAGATCACCTCTACCCAATGGTTGATAAGATCAAACTGAAGCTAAAGAAACAATGAATAACTGGGAAAACATCATTACAAAGGTTCAATACAGTCTTCTTTCGAGGCTCAACGAAATCAAAATAGCTCCTAAAGATGCCACAAGTATTTGGATTTTGACAACACGTCAACCAGTAACACCTTCTATAATCGAGACGCGCCAATCCAGTTAAATCAGAAGCCAGAAGCGAAGTGGTTAGGAGACATATTAAATAGGTTATCGATATATCCAGAAGTGACTTATCCAAGCTGACTAGTAGTTGTAGAAGTGAAGCGCTCACTCGTGATCTGGTGCACATGCATGACCGAGCGCCTTCAGCTGAGTGAGTCTAATAAAACCAATGCGGTCAGAATCAAATGTGGAAGACTTATAAAGCTATTGATTCTGAGGATTTATTTATGGCCACACACTCGACATTGGATTACAAGCCCCAAAAGATCTTCCCAAAGAAGATGTAACTACTATGCAGAACGATTGGAAATGGACCAAAACAGCACTAATCGTAGCTTGTCAGGAGGTTCTGAGCCGCAACAAAAATCGTCTCCAGGAATGAATTTCTACGAAAACCCTAGACAATCTTCAAGTAAGAGGGAGCAAAGAGACAGCAATTAACAACAGCTGAATAGGAACAGAAAAAGTCAAGGCACAAGGTGAATACACCGAAGCAAACAAGCACGTAAAGAAGAGAATTGGAGTTGACAAGTAAAATTATATGGAAGACCTAGAAAGAACATCAGAATATGCTGAGACGGAAAGAAATATAAAACAACTATGTGACAGTAGCAGTACACACAGACCTCCATATAGATGTCACCCCACCAACGATCGAAGAAGTCAGGATGGTTATCAGATAAATCGAGATTATGAAAGAAGCAGCGCCAGACAACACGCCAGCCAAAGTACTGAAGTCAGATGTTGAGATAATTGCAAACATGCTCCACGTTCTACTTAGGAAGATTTGGTAGGAAGAACAAGTGCCACTGACAGACTGGAAAGATGGATACCTCATCAAGATACCAAAGAAAGGAAACCTGAGCAAATGAGGGAAATATATAGGAATCACACTATTATCGGTACCAGGGACAGTTTTTAACAGAGTATTGCTGGACCGGATGAAAGACTCGGTAGACGCCCAAGTTCGGGATCAACAGGTCGGATTCCATAAAGATCAGTCCTGCACAGATCAGATCGCGACACTATGGACCATCATTGAACAATCAGTTGAATGTAACTTGTCACATAAACAACAAGCAATGAGAGCAACAAAATCAATAACTTTGTGCAAGCTAGTCATATGAATATTTAATATCGGATGAACTGTTGAGACGCCGTCATGGCATTCGGTTTTACCAGTAAAACTGGAATCGACCGCAGCAAGCTAGAATTTCAAACGTTTGAATGTGTCAGCTTCACATGACGGTCTACAATAGGTGGAGTGAGATGTTCACATTCAACCTGGTGTGGATGCTCGCTGTCATTTCTTACTGCACACGATTTTATGTGCTATAAAGCAGACTGCTTCACTAACGGTCCCCTAAATCAGCAAGTAACCTGAGGTCATCGAGAACCGCACTCTTCGTTTGCTTCTGTCACGCAGCCTCTCATCGACAAGCCAAAACTGGAGTTACCCAACAGCAATTTTTTTAACTACTGGTTTTCAAACCAGCCGTTAACATTTAAGGCTCAGGCTTATTAGCAAAGTGAGCCCATAATAAGTACCATCATTGGTATATATTTTCCTCGCATTATGATCGAACTCCATTCGATAAGGTGAATAGCTTGAGAATCCCGTCTTCAATCAGTCCAACTGTAGCTATATCACTATAAATAAATTTGGAAGTCCGTTCCAACCATTTAACTTATAGCTACTTTGTATCAATAGGTCGAACAACCTCCATAAGCTCTTTAACTCATCAGGACGCTTTTAGTGTTCTATCGACTTCATTTTATAAAAAGAAGCATTTATTTGTAAATTATGTATTCTGTCACTCAATTAGACTAAGTTACAGATAATAAATTAAAGACTCCAGTAACTAAAATATCTATACGGTTATTGGTATAATTATTGGTAACCCTAAAAGTCTTTTAGTGCACGTTAAGTATATTGCTTATAGCTCAGTAATATTCTCCAATTAAACAGAATTTCAAGATTTGATCTTTGAGACAGAGAACTGAGCATCATTATCAGCCATCTAAAACCTAATTTACCTACTCAAAATACACTGTACTGATATCACAATTTTCATTTTCAACATTACACTCTTGCTTTAGACGCATGTTATTTTTCTCATGTCCTCAACTTTAGGATCTGTTGCAGATAAAGTCTCATAATCCAAGCTTTGGACATTTAATAAATCAGACAATCTAAAGTTTCAGTCTGTCTTCTGATGATGGCAATACAAGTCGTATTACCAAACACTTTCCTCACTCCTTGGCCTCTCAGTTTTTTTTTATTTGTATAACAACCTTCTACTTATTCATTAGCTAGTCAAATTTGTAAATTTTGAGCATTATGTCCACTAACTTGGATTTTAATTATCCTAAAAATATATTTTCTAATAACTAGACAAATAATTTTCCTGGTAACTTTGTGCACTTAGTATTCTTAAATACTTACAGTATTATTTATTTTGTAGTATGCTAAATACATAACATGAAATTAGTAAACCTATGTCATCCTGATAAAATTTCATTTGTTTGCTTACTTCATGATGCAGGAGAAAAGGACAATACGAAATATAAATTAATTCACTGTGAGACGCGATAAAAAATTCCAGAGGAAACACCAGATCCCTTAAATTGAGAATGATTGTGTTTAAGAATACAAACTAGCTGACCATCTCCAATCAAGTGGCAGTAAGTAGTCATATTAGCTTAAGTTCAAATCTTCCCAATCTTACACGCAAACTAAGACCAAATCGATGTCCATTTACCATTAAACGGACGTTTTTCATTCTATGTGTTGTTTCAAACATTAATAGCCAGTTGGAGATCCTCCTACCGCACCATAAGTCGAAGGGCTAAACTACTGCAGTAAATCGTTAGGTATAAGATACATTGTCAAGATGAGAAGAGGTATTTCTAATTACTTACTATTTAGGTCTACTGGTCAAGGAAGTAGTTTTCACCATAAGTGTTCTGCAACAAAAAGCAGCCAAGAATTGAGGAAGTTACTAACCCTCAGTATCTGACAATGACCAATTTCACAGGATATTTTTTCAATATTCATTCAAATTACCATTGAGTAACTAAATACTTGAAAGTGATATTCTGGTAGAACTAAAAGTAAAACCTTAAAGTTGTTGCATCAGTACGCACTATTTCTAATTTGTTCATCTGCATGCATTAGAAAGCATAAATTAATGTGTATTGCACAGCAGTACCGTTAATAACCTTACTAGATGAATGTTGGGTAGTTGAGGTAACTTGATGACTAAGTGCAAGCTCATTTATTTGGACTGAGATTAAAATTTTCATACTTGGTATAGTGGCAACACGCGAGTAAAGGAACCTATGTAGATGAATCCAAATTTGGAATAGTACTCAGTATACCTCCGCTTTGTGCTGAATATCAGGGTAACCGAATAGGTATTAAACAAGAGTTTCGTAACTGAAAAGGTATTTATATTTTTATCAGTAAAAAGTTATACACTCCTTAGATATTTTTAGTGAATATGTTAAGAGACTTCAACAAGTTTGAAAAATGACGTTAGACTAATAGTCATAGAAATTATTTTGCTAGTAACCAGAAAACATATGCGTAACAATACTAAACTGGGCATGCAGATGTAGCAGAACTTCTGCTTTAAGGCCAAAAAGATAGCGAAGTGATTCTATTTGTAGTCCGTGAGCAAACTTTAAAAGAGCGATGGCTATACCTACATAAAATCTTAGGGACAACGAAAACAAAGTTCACTAAATGACGTCCCAAAAAGCGGGTAGATGGACACCACAGGTGAATTTAACAAACAAATATTACTTAAAGTAAAGAAATGCATATCTTGATGACTAGGATATTTTTGGCATAAGATTGGTCAGCCGGTTATGCTCGACATAAAACCTGACAAATATGTGGATAAGTTCAAGTTCCCACGGCTAAACAAATCTGTTCTAATAAGAACGAAATTTGGGGAAATAAACATGAGGTTCTGTAAGGCTAAATGATGAGAATTTTGAAGAAAATAAAATCAGTCCACTTTTTTTTACCTTGATCTCGAAAAACAATGAAAAGTTCGGTTAAACTGACTATTTTAACGAGCACGTTTCCAAATTCGAACCTTATTTTCCGCAATCCATTTCACCAAAGCTTCGAAAAAACTCGTCTTTTATGAAGCCCTTCTCGATGTCGACGGACAAAAGTATTAAATTCACCTAGATCAACAAGACTTTATATTAACCTTAACTGTGTCTTCATCACCTAGTAGTATATGTAAGTTGATCCAAATTTAAGACTCTAAATCTTCATAATCTAATGACAATAAATTAAATATTATAGCAGCACGCAGACTGGTTATCCGATAATTTTTGTATTCTTACCAAAATAGAAGGACGATTAACAATGTTTACAATATCATAACATCTGACCAATAACTCGGATTGTAACATAGAATATACATGTTCAGCCAAACGGTTCAGGGAAAAGTTTCCTTTACTTTTTGATTCTTGAACCAATTTCAGCACAGAAGATCTTACTATCTCTACCATAAAACGATGAAATATGTTTGATGGAAATTACCGAAATCCATCACACGTTATACACAGCGCTGGTTAGTATAGCTTTGAGTGAGCAAGGTAGAAGGCAGCTTAAACAAGAAACGGTGAGAAGCGATTTGCACTCTTTGGTCACTAGCATTTACCTGCCTTTTACTTACTTGCTTCGTGAAGTACTTTCAAGCAATATAAATTCTTCAGACAATTAAACCTCCAAAACAAGTAGTATTCAAAACCCATTGCTTTTTTGATTCATTAGTGTAGATCAGTTGATCTATTGTACACCCTGTTACGTGTCTTAGCACTGTCCACTGTGAGTAGTCTTGCAAAAAATAAAACACAATTGTAATGTTTACTAGCGTCTTCTGTCTTTCTGATTTACTTTAAGAACTCATACAGCTTATGCCTATTGAGTTATTTTCGTCTTCTTAATAACTCTATCTTCTCCATAAGTCATTACAACATATAGCACATGTACATACCTTAATTTTTTGCTTGTTAATTTTATAGTTGAGCGTCTTTTATTGTGCTTGTAGGGTCAGTGCAACGTCACTGAGCCCTAGCCAAATCATCAGGCAGTCGGATTACCGATTGCCGAACAGTCCACCGATCCCCCTCAGCGATAAGGTCAATCAACATCCATTAGTTATTTACACGCCATATGCAGTAGTGGTCATACTCTGTTCCTTGTTCCTACTCAAACTAATATATTTCTGTAATAACCTTGTTTGTGTTTTACGGTAATCAGATTAGCCATATTAATTAGATAAGACGAAACGGTGATCCGTGCTAGGTACCAACCGTAAGGTGTGACTTTTGAGTCAGCTGGCTGGTCACATCATTCTCGTCTAACTCAAGTAGGCCCCCAATCATTCGACATAGATCATCTACGTTGGTGATCTATATACTTGTGAGTGCCTATAAATCTATTTATCCTACACAATATACATCACTTTACTTGCGTTATTTAGTGTGTGATTAGAATTGTACGAACACTTATAACAAGGAATATCTTGGTTTTACACGTTTCTTATCACCGATTCGTGTATGTTCATTTGTTTGCACTGATGGATGTGTGAAACGCATGTGTTTGAAGAAACTCTGGTACTTAATTTTTGACATTATATCACTAGGTAATATGATGAAGTCAATGAAAATACATACGAAATTAATTTGTAATTTCACATAATCTTTCATTGTTGTTACTGATTTGAGGTGAGTATTACCACGAAAGTCTAGCCACTGGGCTGCTGTACTCTTAGTGAGTCTCACAGTTATTTGGAGGCTAATATTTTTTGTTCTTTCATATTTGGTATAAGGAGAAGATAATCGTCGGAAGTGGACAACTTTATTATGCACACACTGCAAACAAAGGTGGAGGAATAATAAATAAAAAGAAGGTGGCAATCAGTGAAGCGGGAAGGAAATGATGGGGATAGTAGTCATTATAATTTACGAAAGACACATCAGTCACATCTATTACATATGAAAAACGGTAAGGCACAGATAAACACACAACTGTTAGGTTTACTCTTGAGACTATCCACTGAACAGGCCATGGCCAATATGCATTTCCTGTGGTGAAACAGCTCACTCAAAGATAGCCTAGGGTTACTGGATAACTTATTATGCTTTTTAACTCCTCCTGTAGCTCTTCTAGGGTTACTACCGGTCCCAAGGCCAGGCAAAGAAGAAAACAACCTTGGTAAAGAAAAGCTAACTTTAACAAACGAATTAAACCATTCATACTCTACATAAGAAGTTGAAGGATCTTCATGAAAAAGAATTGTGAAACCTCATAGTGTAACCCGAGATCCTTAGAGAGCCAAGAAGATGATTGCACTTCTAAAAACCGAACCAGCAATTAATATAGGTATATGTAGTGTTCGCACAATTTGAGAGACCAAGAAGACCAACGAAATAGCTGCTGAAATGAGGAGGTCCAAATTGACAGTGCTCAGAATAAGTGAAAACCTTTGTATACAAGCTGAACAGCGAAGGATAGATTAGGGAGAGATTCTGCTGTACTCCGGTCATGAGGAGGAAAATGCTCCACACACTCAGAGAGTTGACCCCACGATATCCAAAGAAGCACGTAAAGCACTTGTAGGACGGGAATCTCATGAACCGAGAATCATCAAATCATCTTTCAAAGAAAAGAAGGGAGAATCGGAACGAATATTATCCGATGTTGTGCACCCAATAATCGTAGCGGCGGCGACGACGATAGAGATCAGTTTTATGAGCGGATGTAATCAACTGTAGCAAAGTGCTCAGTAGAAGACCTGATCACCGTGATGAAAGACCTAAACACCAAAGCCGGAATGGACGACACCGGGTTTGCAAATATCATGGAAGGACATGGACTTGCAAAAAGAAACGAAAATGGGGAGAGATTTGCAAATCCATGTGCATTCAGCAACCTGGTTATAGGCTTTACAATATTCCCCCACAAAAGCATGCACATAGTTACATGGGTCTTACCGGATTACACAACATGAAACCAGATCGATCATATTTGTATCACTAAAAATTGTCGAAGGTCAATGGAAGACGCAAGAACCAGGAGATGTGCTGGCATAGGGCGAGACTATAAGTTATGGACAAACCAATCACATACACGATAATGTGTCGTGAACTTTATCCATTTGGTTAACTAACGTTTTGGCATTTTAGCTCATGTCGATTCGTGATGAAAACCATAAATCTAATTTTTAACTCTAACCATGAACTGTAAATCACAATTCCAATCCCTCACACTGGTTCATAACCCTCGTTTAGTCCCAGTAAATAGATGGACATTCTGAAGGTCACTTCAGTGTCGGCCCAAGGTCGTTTTTAAATTGGTCTCACTCTGATATGGCTTCAGATCACCTCTACCCAATGGTTGATAAGATCAAACTGAAGCTAAAGAAACAATGAATAACTGGGAAAACATCATTACAAAGGTTCAATACAGTCTTCTTTCGAGGCTCAACGAAATCAAAATAGCTCCTAAAGATGCCACAAGTATTTGGATTTTGACAACACGTCAACCAGTAACACCTTCTATAATCGAGACGCGCCAATCCAGTTAAATCAGAAGCCAGAAGCGAAGTGGTTAGGAGACATATTAAATAGGTTATCGATATATCCAGAAGTGACTTATCCAAGCTGACTAGTAGTTGTAGAAGTGAAGCGCTCACTCGTGATCTGGTGCACATGCATGACCGAGCGCCTTCAGCTGAGTGAGTCTAATAAAACCAATGCGGTCAGAATCAAATGTGGAAGACTTATAAAGCTATTGATTCTGAGGATTTATTTATGGCCACACACTCGACATTGGATTACAAGCCCCAAAAGATCTTCCCAAAGAAGATGTAACTACTATGCAGAACGATTGGAAATGGACCAAAACAGCACTAATCGTAGCTTGTCAGGAGGTTCTGAGCCGCAACAAAAATCGTCTCCAGGAATGAATTTCTACGAAAACCCTAGACAATCTTCAAGTAAGAGGGAGCAAAGAGACAGCAATTAACAACAGCTGAATAGGAACAGAAAAAGTCAAGGCACAAGGTGAATACACCGAAGCAAACAAGCACGTAAAGAAGAGAATTGGAGTTGACAAGTAAAATTATATGGAAGACCTAGAAAGAACATCAGAATATGCTGAGACGGAAAGAAATATAAAACAACTATGTGACAGTAGCAGTACACACAGACCTCCATATAGATGTCACCCCACCAACGATCGAAGAAGTCAGGATGGTTATCAGATAAATCGAGATTATGAAAGAAGCAGCGCCAGACAACACGCCAGCCAAAGTACTGAAGTCAGATGTTGAGATAATTGCAAACATGCTCCACGTTCTACTTAGGAAGATTTGGTAGGAAGAACAAGTGCCACTGACAGACTGGAAAGATGGATACCTCATCAAGATACCAAAGAAAGGAAACCTGAGCAAATGAGGGAAATATATAGGAATCACACTATTATCGGTACCAGGGACAGTTTTTAACAGAGTATTGCTGGACCGGATGAAAGACTCGGTAGACGCCCAAGTTCGGGATCAACAGGTCGGATTCCATAAAGATCAGTCCTGCACAGATCAGATCGCGACACTATGGACCATCATTGAACAATCAGTTGAATGTAACTTGTCACATAAACAACAAGCAATGAGAGCAACAAAATCAATAACTTTGTGCAAGCTAGTCATATGAATATTTAATATCGGATGAACTGTTGAGACGCCGTCATGGCATTCGGTTTTACCAGTAAAACTGGAATCGACCGCAGCAAGCTAGAATTTCAAACGTTTGAATGTGTCAGCTTCACATGACGGTCTACAATAGGTGGAGTGAGATGTTCACATTCAACCTGGTGTGGATGCTCGCTGTCATTTCTTACTGCACACGATTTTATGTGCTATAAAGCAGACTGCTTCACTAACGGTCCCCTAAATCAGCAAGTAACCTGAGGTCATCGAGAACCGCACTCTTCGTTTGCTTCTGTCACGCAGCCTCTCATCGACAAGCCAAAACTGGAGTTACCCAACAGCTAGGTCCTAATGGGCCGATCATTAACGATGGATATGCCGCTAACCCTTTGGCTGAACAGTACTCTCGGACATTGCAACTGACCCATATTAACTGTATTTATCAAAGCTTCATCTGCAACTGCACAGGACTTTTGGAAGTGAACCTGAGAGCTAACTTGGTGTATCTAAAACTGCAGCACCTTAAAAAAGACACCTCCTGGTCCGAATATGGTTCGTACTGCTATACTGAAGGAAGCAGATTCGATCTTGGAGACACCGCTTAGAGTGCTGTTCTCGCACTTTCAAAGCCGAGGCGCATTGCCGGAAATTTGGAAGCTGGCTCACATCACACTGACTTTCAAAGGAAGTCGACTCAGCGAACCTTCAAGCTACCGACCGGTGGCTCTCCTCCCCATACATTCAAAAAAATATGGATTCCCTGATATGCGATGGTATACACGACTATTTATTATTTTTAAACTTCTTTTGACCCCAACAGCATGGTTTCAGGAAGGGTCATTATTGTGTGATCAACCTGCTGACTGCGATGGACAAAAATCCTTGATCGCAAGGGGAAGGTTGAGGTTATTTACGTTGACTTCTCCAATGCCTTTGGTAAAGTCGACCGTATATGTCTTATCAATAAGCTCGAACGATTAGATATCATATCATCTGTAACTGACTGGCTTACTTCATATCCAATATGTCGACATTTTAAGGTCAAGGTTAACTTTATTTTCTCTCGAGCTATGGAATGTCATAGTGGGATCTCCCAGGGTTCAGTACTAGAACCCCTTATTTTCTTAACTTATATAAACGATCATCCACAGCAGATATTGCCAGACTTATTACTTTTTGCTGATGATGTGAAACTTTGGGGAGAGATACGCAACCACGAGGATAAACTGGCACTTCAGGAAGATCTGACTTCATTTCAAAGTTGGACAGGCGACAACGGACTTACCTATAACACTTCAGAGTGTAACGAAACATGTAGAATGCAGCTAAAACTTAGGCAACTCCACTCTAGAGGTATTCCAAACTGAAAAAGATCTAAGACTATTGATACCCTACAATTTGAAGTCTTACGCTGAATGAGACAGCAATGTCTTCCTAGCAGATATTGCACTGATAAAATTGAAGCGCATTTTTCGCTGGTTCGACGAAAGAACTTCACACATGATCTTTAACGGTTTTGATCGACCTCACTACAGAGTACGGAAATATAGCATTTCTTCCCACACTGTGGAACGTATCCAACTGCCAGCCACAAAATCTGTTCGGGACCTCAAGCTTAAGCCTTATGAGGAGCGTCTCCGATCATTGAACCTTTACCCTTGAGAGTACAGGCGTCCTAGAGGTTACCGCCTAATGGCTTAAAGCATCTTAAATACTTCCGAACATTTCCTTAAACACTTACTTAAACCTTTTCCTAACACAAAACGTAGGGGTATTACATTGAAACTAGACACTCAACACAGCGGAATGGGATGTAGACGCACCTTCTACTCCTTAAGAGTAGTCAAACAATAAAATTCACTGCTGGCTGAGCTAGTACAAGCGATTTCTCAGGGGCCCTATAAAAGAAAACTTGACATTGAAGATGTCACAGGTATTCAGTGTTTGACAACGCTTTTACCAGCAACACCTTCTAATATAATTTGTACCCACCGAGAGAAATCAAAAGACAGAGTCGAGGAGATCGGAAGAGTGTATTTGGCGATTACCAATATATCGGAGTTCTCTTATCTAATGTGGCTAGCGATTGCGGTAGATGTTGAACACAGCGTTACCACACGTGATCTGGTGCGGATGCATGACCGAGCGCCTTCAGCTAGATGAGTCCACTAGAACATATGGTCAGCATCAAATGTCGAAAACTTACAGAGCTATTTATTTTGGGGATTTATTTACCGCTACAACATATTCCTAAGGACTAAAGATAGTATCTTACAATGATAAATCAACGTTTTTTCTTTTTCCTCTTTTACCAATAATATACCTAGATTCCTGTCTGGAGGTATTGGTGGTCCACTACTATTAGATATGGAAGCCCGATAAGCGAGAGCTTCTTATATTCCGTCCAAAACCATTTGACCCATTTGGTCGTTGGGTCACAATTTCGAATGGTGCGTTGCGACTGTTGTAGTTTTATTTTACTGTCTTTGTATGATCCTGATAAAATAAGCATAATTAATGATCAATACAATTTTAAAACCTACGATGTTTGCATATTTTTTATCCTCACTCATAATACGGGTGAAAATTACTGAAGTTAGCTATACTTATGTTTCTTAAAGTACGTACTAGCTAACAACTTTATGGTGACTATTATTTATGGACGACTTTTCAGTGAGATTGATGTCATACATGATTTCTCAAATAAGTGAGTAGACTTCTTTCATATCTGTTATTCTCTTCCAACAACATTCTAAGTTCACCCACAATAGAAGTGATCTATGCACGTATACGGGGAGTATTTGGTTATATAGTTTGGTATACATCCAAGGAGTGAAAATATTAGCAATAATTTTTGTTGCTGAATATGGACTAGACTTAACGTTTAGTTATTTTGACTTTCAAAAATAGGTTTCAGTCTTATCTCTACTAAATCTAGGTGTTTGCCCTCGGAAGAATTCTCTCCGTTAGGTATTGATAAATTTCTCAGTGATATAGTCCATCTCAGTATTTTCAACTGTTGCTCAAACGTGGCTTATTACAACTAATTTATCTGCATTGTAGTGATGGATTATTGTTTGGCTTCACTAAGTAGACGTAATAATGATAGATCTGATGTTTTTACAGTTGAGCGTAATTAGTTGAGTTCTGATAAGTAAGTGCAATTTTTTTCCGCTCAGCTGTAAAGTATACTTACTTACTGGTGATTGATATCGTCAGACTACCTAAAACGGAAATTAGAACGTGTTTAATTAAAAGCAATTTTGCTTGAGTTATTCATATAGTATTTAATGTAATCTATCCGTAGCAGTAATCGAAATGGGCATTATAGTTCTATCTAAACTTACAAATTACCGTCAATCACTGTTCTAAGAAATCATATTAGAGGTATTATTCTGATGCCATCGACTGAATAACATCTACAGCAAAGTGTTAAAGTAGGCTATTACGTCGATTTAACGGCAAATTGCGGCGAACGTTTCGGTTCATATGTTTCATTTGATTTTGTGGTGTTTGGTTACGCCTTAAATACATATGATTTAGAATTTCAATCATACTTGTTTTTAACGAGGTCTCATCAGTTCTTTTTTTAACAATTGTTAGCTCAATGACATGTTGATGATCTTCTCAACGTGTATCTGTTTAAACCACACTTCTGTCATATGTGTAAGCATTCAGGGGCTGAAATCATCAGCTGTAAACATTAAAATATAAGTAATAAATCAAGCACAGTGCTCGAAAAACTGGTTTTGTGGGTTTTTGGACCGCCTATGTTTTTAGATCAAGTCTTCATCAGTGTGTCGCGAATCATGAGACAGAAGTTGATTATTTAAAATTGGCACTAAATAATTCAATCATCTGCCTACTTGTTATGCTAAGTTATATTTCCGAGTGCCCACGATCAGTTACATTTTCTATCTTTATAAAACTATTGATTCCTCGTTTCAAAATATTGTTTTTATATTAGTCTATCGTTGCTCTCAGAATTGTTTTGCTTTTTTTAGGTTAAAAAGTCTTTTGAATGTTTTGTTTATACAGTACTCGAGATTGATGGAAGATTTTGTACGAATGATTCTCTTTTGCTATTCTTACTTAAAAAGCCTGTTTTATGTTGGATAACACTGATTTCTTTAGTATGTTGTCAACTGATTATCTTTCAAAACTGTGCAGTCGTACAAAATTTCAGATAACTAATTTGTTTGTCAATATTACCACAGGTTTAGCTGAACAAAACCATATCTCAAGTTGTATAACTCAACTATGTGGAGTTCTGAAAGAAAAATTGCAATCAAGCTGGTTCTTCTTACCATGTTTACTCAATCATTCTGGTCTGGATTTCAATTTCTCACGAACCAGTTTATATATTATAGGTTACGTTTTACTCATGATAATTCAGATCCATGTTTTTCGGTAGTTTTTACATTTAAATATAATTAACGCTTAAACGTTTTACACTTTTTAATCTTGTCTAGTTTTTCTGATGTTTTTTTTTATAGTAAAAAACAGGATTGCTTACTTACTTACGCCCCACCAGTATTCTCCATCCAACCCTGTTTTGGGCAATCCTCTCCAGCTCTTTCCAGTTGTTATTCATCCTTTTCATATCCGCTTCTATTTCCCGACTTAATGTGTTCTTTGGCCTTCCTCATTTACGCTTACCTTCAGGATTCCAGGTTAGGGCTTGCCTCGCGATGCAGTTTGATGATTTGCGTAATGTATGTCCTATCCATTTCCATCGTCTTTTCCTAATTTCTTCTTTAGCTGGAAGCTGGTTTGTTCCCTCCAAGAGAAAGCTGTTGCTGATGGTATCCGGCCAATGGATGTTGAGTATCTTGCGTAGACAACCGTTTATAAATACTTGTACCTTCTTGATGATGGTTGTAGTAGTTCTCCAAGTTTCAGCTCCGTACAATTGAACTGCCTTTATGTTCGTATTGAAGATTCAGACTTTGATATTGGTTGAAGGTTGTTTTGAGTTCCATATGCTCTTAAATTGTAGGAATGCGGCCCTTGCCATGCCAATCCTTACTTTTACCTCTGCATCTATTCCTCCTTGTTCATCCATGATGCTTCATAGGTATGTGAAGGATTCTACATCTTCCATAGTTTCGCCATCGAGAGTGATTGGATTTCTGTTCTCCGCGTTGTACTTGAGGACCTTGGTTTTCCCTTGTATTTGTTGAGGTCTACTGATGCAGAGACTGCTGCTACACTGACTGTCTTTATCTGCATTTGTTCATGTGTATGCGATAGGAGGGCTAGGTCATCTGCGAAGTCCATATCGTATAGTTGTTTCCGAGCTGTCCATTGTATTCCGTGTTTTCCTTCAGATGTCGAGGTTTTCATAATCCAGTCGACCACCAGAAGAAAGAGGAAAGGAGAGAGTAGACAGCCTTGTCTGGATCCGGTCGTTACTTGGATTGCATCTGTCAGCTGTCCTTCATGCACAACCTTGCACTGTAGTACGTCGTATGATTTCCAGATAATATTGACAATCTTCTCAGGAACTCCGTAGTGTCGAAGAAGTTTCCATAACGTCCTCCTATCTGCACTGACAAATGCCTTTTCATAATCAATGAAGTTGATGTACAGTGTTGAGTTCCACTCAATCGATTGTTCGACGATGATCCGTAGTGTCGCAATTCGGTCTATGCACGACCGATCCTTACGGAATCCAGCCTGTTGATCTCGAAGTTGGACGTCTACTGCGTCTTTCATCTGGTTGAGCAACATTCTGTTAAAGACGTTCCGTGGTACTGACAGTAGTGTGATGCCTCTGTAGTTCTCACATTTGCTCAAATCGCCTCTCTTTGGAGTCTTAGTGAAGTGTCGTTCCTTCCAGTCCATCGGCACTTGTTCCTCCTCCCAAATCTTTTTGAATAGAAGGTAAAGCATGTTTGTAGTTACTTCGATGTCTGACTTCAGTGCTTCAGCTGGTATGTTGTCGGGTCCTGCTGCTTTCCCGCTCTTTATCTGTCTGTTGGCCATTCTGATTTATTCCTTCGTTTGTGGATTGACATCTATAGGAAGATCTGTGTGTGCTACTTCGATGTCCGGTGGACTCATTGGAGTCGGCCTATTCAGGAGTTCCTCGAAGTACTCTACCCATCTGTTCCGCTGTTGTTGAATTTCAGTGATTGGCCTGCCTTCTTTGTTTTTGGCCGGTCTCTCTGGTTTACTATATTTCCCTGCTAGTTTCTTCGTTGTATCGTAAAGCTGTTTCATATTTCCTTCTCTTGCAGCTTTTTCAGCCGTCGTTGCTAGTTCTTTCACGTATTTCTGATTGTCGGCTCTAATGCTCTTCTTCACTTGCTTGTTTGCTTCTATGTACTCAGCTTGTGCTTGGACTTTCTCTGCTCGTGTTCGGCTGTTGTTAAATGCTGTCTTCTTGTTTTTCCTTTCTTTGATCCTGTCCAGTGTTTCTATAGAGATCCATTCCTTATGATGATGCTTCTTTAGGCCCAGAACCTCTAGACACGTTGAAGCTAATGCTTCTTTGATACCTTTCCAGTTGTCCTCCATAATAGTTTCTTCTTCCTTCAGTAGATCTTGTAAGGCTTGGAACCTGTTGTTGAGAGCCATCTTGAATTCATTTAGTTTGTTAGTATCTCGAAGGAAGGCTGTATTGAACCTTTGCAGAGCTGTTTGTCCAGTTGTCCAGTTCTTCTCTAGCTTCAGTTTTGAATTGGCCACAACTAGGTGGTTATCTGAAGCTATGTCAGCTCCTCTCCTGATTCTCACGTCTTCCATTGTCCTTCGGAACTTTTTATTGATGCAAATATGATCTATCTGGTTCTATGTGGTGTGGTCCGATGAGATCCATGTAGCTTTGTGTATACGTTTGTGTGGAAATATTGTGCCGCCTATAACCAATTTGTTGAATGCACATAGATTTGCAAATTTCTCCCCGTTTTCGTTCCTCTCTCCCAGTCCGTGTCGTCCCATGACATCTTCATATCCGGTTTTATCTATTTCGACTGTGGCGTTTAGATCTCCCATCAGAATAGTGAGATTCTTTCTTGGGCAATCCTCTATGATTGATTGCAGCCTATCATCGAACTGATCTTTATCGTCGTCATTGTTATCATTTGTGGATGCATAACATTGGATAACATTGATTGTAATTCCCTTCTTTGTTTTGAATTATGCTTTGATGATTCTGGACCCGTGAGATTCCCATCCTACAAATGCATTTCGTGCTACTTTGGACAGCATTAGAGCAACTCTCTGAGTGTGTGGAGCATCTTCCTCTTCGTGACCGGAGTATAGCAGCATCTCCCGTATTTAGCCTTTGTTGTCCAGCTTGGGTCCAATGGGTTTCGCTGATTCCCAGTACTGCCACGTTGTATCTTCTCATTTCCGTTGCTATTTGACTGATCTTCCCAGTCTCCCAAATTGTCCGGATGTTCCATGTACCTATAAAAATTGTTGCTCTGGTTGTCAGAAGGGGCATCGGCCTCGTGACTTCCAAAGGAACTCGGCTTTCACCACCAGGCGTCATAGTTTTTCCAGATGAAAACCTTCTAACTCCCAGGGCAGAGTTTAAATGGTTTGAATTATTTTTTCTGGTTATCGTTTTTTAGCGAGTTAGTTTTCTACGGAATGGGATCGCTAACACTATGTTCAACCCTCCTCCTTTACCCGGGCTTGGGACTGGCATAGCTCTATAAGTGCTACAGGTGGAGTTAGGATTGCTTAGGGCATCTATTTTATTCCAGGCCTCACCTCAAAGAAAAGGAGAAAGTAAGAAGATAGTATATTCAAGTAAACCACATATTATACATTATTATGGTGAGCATCTATTATTTATGTCTTCAAAGATTTGACACTTGTATGTCGAGTCTTGGAATCAATTTCAAGACAGAACTGAAGAAGTTAGTGTTGGTTTCCTGCTTTTATAATTATCGTTCATGATTTTGGTACGTAAATACTTTAATAGCGGGTGAATTTCTCATTGAAAATAAGGATTACCTTTTATTATATATTTTTCTGCTTACTTTGAGCTGACTGTTGTTTTAATCCCTGTTTCAAGACTTCTGAGTAAAAGTACTCATATTGACATTTCAGACTGATGAACTTGGTAACTAACCATTAAAAACACCCATTCTGAAGTCGTATTGTAATGTGGGCTTTGGACTGCTCTGAGATGTCCAAAATAGTTCTATACAAAAGTTGCTAAGAATGCACAAAACTCAATAAAATGACTGTGTTTGATATACATAATAACTCTGTAGAGTTGTTCCTAAAATATTGTTTGCATAGAAATTCCTGCTAAGTATCAGAACTGGACAAAATTGTTCCGTAATGTAACGAGGACGAGAAAGACTACAGAAGACTTAATAACCTCCAAATATATCAAAACTATATCTGAATACGCCTATTTTTGTTTCATGTACACCAAACACATCAAATCTGAACGAATTAAACTGGATAAGGTTGAGTAGGTATCCTGAAATAGGTCAATTTGAAATTTATTTGCTCTTCTAACAATAAGAAAACAATTTGATAGAATTATGTAATTGACTTTGACAACGGATTTTATTTTAATGAACTAACTACTAAAACGTATTGGATATTTTTAGATTTTTTTAGTAAGATTATTTATTTATCTGATTGTCTTACGTTCTTGTGGTTCTAGGTTTCTAAAGGACGCAGGTCTACCCTACGAACCGTCTCCACAAAACAAGTATGTTGAAGGTTATTATGAGTGATTAGCTTGTTTAGTCGTTGTGGGATAAGTAATTATTTCAACCAGGGCTTATTTTTCCGCTGATAATTTAGAGCTTATTCAAAGTAGGAAGAAATTATTCGGTTGTTGTTCATGACAGTCAGTGCACGTGAGGTACTTCATTTCTTCGTCAACTCGTGTTAGATGTAGTTCAGAATACAGTTGACATGTCTTCATCAACATATCCTATTATTAACACTTTTTTTCATGATCATACACGAATCAGTCATTCAAGTATCAGTGAAGCTTTGCTATATTATCATTTGTTGTGGAAAATTTCCTTTTGAACTTGGATTTCACATTGGAAGTTGACTTATTAGTTAATTAAGTAGTCATTAAAAATATTCTGTTTTTACTAGGTAAGTGTTTATAAAGCATCAGTTTTCGAAAGTAAATGTGATATCTATCAATGATAAGGTGATATGAAATTTCACTAACGGGTCATATTTTGAATTGTTGAATTTCCGTGGCCCGACAGCAAGTTAGTGATTTACGTAGTCAATCATGGTATCGAATGGACAGAAAGACATCAGTTTAACTTAATAAAAAAAGATCTACCGTAGTTACTGGTCGTTTTCGGTTTACCATGAAATTGATAACAAGTATTTATTTCCTGTTTTCCATATTTTGTGTTCTAATGATCCACTAAACATTTTTTTCCTGTCAACATAATTTTATTTCCCCAGTTTGATGATGGTATGTATTTCGTCCACTAACCTCATCTAATGTCTTTACTATTTTGATTAAACTGTTTACCCCTATCGCACCCAACATCACTCATAAGCTGGAACTGTCAAGGTGTTTCATAACGAGTATGTGGTTATTCTTAGCATTTTTAGTTTTTTGCTGGATACTCTACATAGTTCTTGAGTTCTGTGTTTAAGATCTCTACATAGTTATTGCCTATGTATTCTACTTCAAAGTACGTAAATATAGTTAAGTTAACCGGTGCAGAAGTCTCGAAGCCTAATGATACAGTATTTTACGAATTTGGTCATGCTGTTTCAAAGTAGGAAGAAAGATTCATAAGTATTGTGTAAAAACGTCGAATTGTGTTGTTAATTCTGTAAGAGAGAACATATACTTTTCTTTAAGCAATAAACGTATCGCCTTACATTTTAACGTATAGGTTTACTGTATCGTAGGCTATAGTTCGAGAAACGTTTCATACCAAGTCTAAGACTAGACAAAATTTGTGCGCTCTGAAGGTAAACAGCTATTAACAGGACTATATTTTTTAAACTTTACTTCAAAACAAAGTATTGAGTGACAATTGCGGTAACTTTTTTTTCACTAATAGATCCATTCCTGATCAGGATAAAGAATTGAAAGATGAAGTTCAAAAGAGGACTGCACATTTACTCCCCTTATTGAGTGCTTCATTATTAATTCCTGGACTTTTGTCGTCGTTTATGATCAGTTCACTTTCTGATCATTATGGTCGACGTGTAGCGATGGGAGTTTTGTTTGGTGGTTTAACTTCAAACATAATCGTTTCATGTAAAGTTATCATTTATTTTAAATTTTTTCAACATATATGACTGCATATTATTGTGTAGTATAGTCTGTTATTTTGTATCAGTTGTTCAGTTCATACAGAGGTATTTATTGTCTTAAATGTATTACTTTGTAATAATTTATGATTTTTCTTATAACCTTTGAATGTATCCATGATTCACTCCATTAAAGGACCTAAACACTATGCAAGGGAATATTGTCAGCTCTTAATCAGGTCCTGAATGAATTAATTTATACGATTCTATCTCTTATCCACTGTAAAAGTCACAATTCTTAATTGAACAGAGCACAATTGAGTAGTATTTAGCGACTAATTGTTTTGAACTGCATCAGACAGGGTTATTCAAATTTTAGTCGTATCGATTATTTCAACTACAAATTATAAAATCCCAGTTATATTTACTAGCTTTTCTAGCTATTTCCTAGTACGAGACATTTTAGAAATCCACTAGATTTCTTCGCTTAATTTTATCATTGGTAAAATTTACGTTATTTAACATTTTACATATTTTGTATTATATTTACATAAATTGTATTCTAGTGATTTTACCTATGGTTTTGCTTAATCTATAGGTAACGCAGATATACACGCAGTAATACCACTTACTCACATTGTATTATAAAGTAGCCTAACCGACGCATAAGTATATTTAGAGGCTATCTTAAGCAATGTAGTAACAGTTTTTGTTTGCTTAGTATTAGTACTTTAATTGAAAATAATGGTCACTTCCTATGTTGTAATTTTTTTCAGCGCTTGTGATTTTACTTGAACTGAATTTATACTTATTAATTCTGGGAAATTTAACGTGTGGTTTTCTTGGCGGAGGCTTGCTTACATTTTCAGGTCAAATTTCAGTTTGCTTTGCTGATATTACTAAGATTCCTGATGAACAAGAGCCATTATTGGATAACTCTAAATGTCAACAAGCCTCATTGGAACGTCGACGACTTTCGTATATGGGAATTTACGATGGTGTTTGTGTTTTAGCAAGTGCCGCAGTGGTGTCAGTTACAGGTAATAATTGAAATATAACCTTATTTGTTTGAAGCCATTTTTGAAATGTTGATCTTTTCTATGCTTTAACTGTGACTCAGGATTTGTTCATAAGTTATGTTGTTTGTTAACTTCAGTCACTTATGAATTTCGAATAGGTCAACCTTTTAAACTAAATATTTGTAGGTAAACAACAATGTCTTATTGATCGGTAATGAATATTTTGAATTAAGACTGCATAATTCAATTTAATATAAGGTCAAGACGATTATTGTCTATAAAAATTGTCTGATTGACCATGTTGTTTGGTTATGAACTTAAGATGTTGAATCTAAATTTCCATCTGATTTTTCGAAATGCGCTTATTCCTGCTCTCAGTAACTCGTAATGACAAAGCCCAAAACTCCTAATCACTTTGATTAGAGTCATGTATTTCTGACTGGTACATGAAGTTCACAGCTGTTTCTCAAATACTTTGATACCTATCGGTGAATTGACGTTAAACCTAAATCTGCAAAACACTTTCGGAATCTATAAGTAAAAAAAGCTTACGCAGATAAATATAGAGACTTTCTATAGACAAAATTTGCTTTACACTTCAATTATGTGATTTAGTCTTTATTTTGGTGAGTAACAATCCCGTAACATATGTCCTTGCTAATTTCAGTTTATGCAAAAAGTGAAAATTATCAGTAACTTATCAATTCATACGATTACTTTTCAGTTGCTTATTGTTTTTTTTGTATCTCATCAAAAACGTTAAGAATATTTTTATTGAAGTGTATCAATCATTTTTAACGGAGACTCGGATGTCCTGTTTGTTACTAGCGAAATAACTAATTGTTTACCATTGAGTTATTATACGAAGTGAATCCTCACTATAGACCAGTTCTATTAATTTAGTTTTGCTTCGATATTATTTCTTATTATTTTGTTGAAGTTACCGTTTTGTGACGCATGAAACTTGTTGTTTGCAATCATTTATATATTATTACCTAACCTATAAATAACTCGAAATTCCGGAAGGCTCTTCGGAAGGCTGTAATATACTTTGTACGAGCATTCCATTTACCTAAATTAATGGTTGCTCTGGTTGTCAGAAGGGGCATCGGCCTCGTGACTTCCGAAAAAACTCGGCTTTCACTACCAGGCGTCATAACTCTTCTAAATGAAGACCTAACTCTCAGGGCAGAGTTAAAATGGTCTGAATCATTTTTTATGGTTAACGTTTTTTAGCAAGTTAGTTTTCTACGGAATAGGGTCGCTAATCCTCTGTTCAACCCTCCTCCTTTACCCGGGCTTGGGACTGGCATAGCTCTATAAGTGCTACAGGCGGAGTTAAAGCTGTAATATAACTTATTTATGAATATAGAAAGGAAGAGTGGTGAACTTTACTTTGCCCTGGTAAACATAAATATCATAAAAAAATTTCACCTGTTACGTAATCTGACTTTTACTCAGTCAGTCAGCTACAACGTAGGAACAGGCACATTTATGCATCGGTCCAAGTTGCCATTACCTCATTAACACAACATGATGGACACCGGATTCATAAAAGTAGTTAATTCAATGGTTGTAATATATAAAAGAAAGATTGCAATAAGGATATAGTACAGGAAGAAAGAATTAGTACGTAGAAGGAAAGATATGAAGCAATTTTAATCTCTTAGTTTAAGGGAAGATAGAGAGTGTATACACCCTGCGTATAACCTCACTATTACTTACCCGGTGATCCCAGCAGACGCCAGCAATATTTCTGAGGCATCTGTGGTCAAATACTAGAAGCTTACGGGTGTCTTCTACTCTTAATGGCCATGTTTCGCTGCCGTAAATTAAAACAGAACGGACTGCCGCGCAATATACTCGTCCTTTTACTGGTAGACGGATATCTTGCCTTCGCCATAGGTGACGTAAGTTGGCAAAAGCCAAACGAGCTTTTCGAATCCGTGCTGGGATTTCGTCAGACACTCAGTTAATATATAGCCTGAATATGACCCATAATTATACAACTATCGATTATCATTTGTAACTTTCACCTCTTCTCCTTCATCTGACTGAATTCATCACGTGTAAAATTGATCATCCCACGTACAGCTTTCAATTTCGTCTTTTGATTCACTTTCCTAATATTCTACCTCGTTTCAAAGATCCATCACCAGCTTATTAAACAAAGTATATCAAGCCATCATTTAAAACTTGATTATTGTGTGCTATAATTTTAATGTCTACAGCTAATGCGGAACCTTAAAACTGTATGGATTTTTTCTTTAGCTGCAAATCTTTTTTTCTTGCTTTGGTCAAAATTGTCATGTGAACTGTGTTGTATGAAGTTGTGTTAAACTTACGTTGGTTAACTTCGATTCAACTACGACAAGCAACCTGAATAATATTACGTGTTCAGTTATGTAGAATTAGCTAACTAGTTAGAGGACTCTGTAGTGCTATGTTAAGCACACACAGCTTATTCTAGCTTCCGGACAGGCCAATCTATTCATTCTTCTTGAGTCATGTTTTGACCTTGTTAATTATTCGCTTATCAACCTTGACTGTTTTTATGTAAGCGTATGTGTGAAATTCTTGTTCTGCTCATCACATGTCTGTAACGTATTTCTATCCGACTATAAATATCGATTAACGCGTGATTAAATTGAGTTGGCTCACATTCATTCTCCGTCGCTCGTCATTTCACGTCACTCTCTTCTTTTTGATTCTTTCGTTTCGTCCCTCCGACTATCTATTCAGATCAATGAGTGTACAAAATATACATATTCAAAATCTATTCTCGTATTTGATTTATTTAATTCCGTTATTCACTAACGCAAGTTAAGTCGATGATTATCTACGAGGATTGGCGACATGTGTATGTTTCAGTAATAATCATTTATACAATCTAAGTGATGTCAGATATAAGGCCTCTAAAGTGATGAGCCCATCTATAACACCACCCGATCTAATTGTTGTCAAAATAACGGACCACTAAAACTCAATTTCAAATTATTATTTTATAAGTTGAAACTTCCATTTAATCGTACTTCAGAATAGTTTTTAGCAACACTCATTTTTACATGAAAAATTATGATTTATAATTGAGTTCAATAGATGAATCTCTGCAACTTTTCAGATAATTAAAATAACCCATAGTGTCATTGAATAAGAAAAAGAGAATTCAGCGAAGAAAATTTTCTTTTCGACGAAATCATTTACTTAAGCTGTACATTCGTATATATAGTTATATGGAAAATGTATGTCTATAGAAGGATAGAAAGGGTTGTATCACAAAAAAATGGATTCGACAATAAATAACAAATGAGGTTAACGTACTAATCAAGGGGTAAGGAAGAACAAAATTTAAGGGTCAGATAATAGTCCAATTGACAGATTGACAGATATGAAGAAAAACGACAAAACAACAAAGGTCATAATAATAAACTGAATGATAATCAAGAAAACTTGTAAAAGGTAATAATAATAAATGATTAAAGTTTAAAGTGCAAAATAGTAATTTAAAAATATGGATAATAATAAAAGTGCATTAGGAAAACAAAAAAACAACCTAGCAACATACCCATTAAGGCCAAGGAAGGATAAGAGGCTGGACAAATCGTTTCTGCACGCAAAGTTCAGGCTTTAGTTTGTGGATTGCCAATGCCTCTGCGGTGCATAAAATATTGATTCGAACCCCCTTCGATCCAGTTCCTTTGACTCTGTAAACTATTTTAAACGAAGAGTCTTTTGGAGCGATATGTCCACAGTTGATTAAGTGCTCCTGTATAGAACTCGTGATTGTTTTTCGCTCCCCTTTCAAAAGCCAAGCCGGATAATGTTCCGAGATGCGTTTGGATAATGATCGCTTTGTGCGGCCTATGTAACATGCCCCACATGAGCAAGTAAATTTATAGATACACATTGAAGTGGCCCAAAGCGAAAGTTTGTCCTTTACACACCCCAGAATGGTAGGTCGGCTAGAGAAGATGATTCGAAGTTTAGCTGCGTGGAATGTTTTATTCATTGATTTCGAAATCCGTTTATTTAGGATTTCAGCAGCTGTATCTCCCTTAAATTCCATATTCATAAATAGAGTTTTTTTCTCTACTGTCAATGCTTTATCATGGGGTCTAGGTACCAAGTTTCTATCGATGAATCTCGGTGGATAACCGTTTTTGATGAGGGTCTGTCGAAGATAAAATAGTTCCCCATCTATTGTGTCGTTGGAACAAATTCGCCTGATCCTTGAGGATAAAGAATGAATTAAGTTCCTTTTTCTAATTAATGGAACCCAACTGTGGAAGTTCGTGTATTGTCCATTCCAAGTGGGTTTTCTGTATATCGATCTCTGTAATAAACCGTCAGGCATTCTTTTTAAATGGATATCAAGAAAATGAAATTCGTTGTTTGTCTCTGCTTCTAAGGTGAATTGGATTGATGGGTGACAGTTATTGAAAATATTCAAAATATCATTGAGGTCACTGTCTTCTTCGCAAATAATGAAAGTGTCATCCATATATCTTTTATATAAATGAAATCTTTCAATTATTGGTCGAAGTACCGAATTTTCTAGGTTCGCCATAAAACAATCAGCCAGGAGAGGACCCAATGGAGAGCCCATTGCAACTCCATCTATTTGTTTATAGAAAATATCATTAAATCTAAATTGCACGTTGAGCGTACATCTTAGAAGTAGTTCTTTAAGGTAATGTATCGGGATACGCATATCAAGATTATTATTTTCAATATAGTCACATAAAAAGCAAATGGTTTCTGTGAGAGGAACATTTGTGAAAAGAGAAGTGACGTCTAATGAGAACATTTTTTTACCGGATACATTGATATTTCTAATGGAGTCAACAAAGTCAAAGGAATCAAGAGAATTGTGTTTGTTGATATGATTTTTAACAGGTTGTAGAATGTTAACTAACCATTTAGCGATTAAGTGATAGGGAGAATTGTTCATATCCAGTATAGGACGTAGTGGGTTATTATTCTTATGAACTTTTGGTAGTCCATATAGTCTTGGTACAACAGAACCAGATGGTTTGAGGTGTTCATAGAGGTCATGATTGATAATATCCTCATCTTTCATTTTCTTCAAAATTTTAATTAGCATTTGTTCAGTTTTTTCAGTAGTGTCTTTTTGAACGTTCTCAATAGAGAATTTGACAGGATCAGATAATATTGAAGATATTTTTGTAACATAGTCAATACGATCCATAAGAACAATTCCTGCACCCTTGTCTGGGCGGCATAAAACTAAGTCCTGATTTCTCCGCAGATCAGATAATTGAGATTTATGTTCTTTTGTGAGTAATCGGCTAATTGTAGGTATTTTATTTACATATTGATTACAACAGTCCACAAGAGTTGTTTTAAAATGCTCAAAATCTTCATTAGACACTGGAGTAAGGTCATTTGTCTGTCGCATGAGGCCTTCAAACTGGATTTTCGCGTTGAGTTCATTAATGTTAGTGGAAGTGCTACAAAATTTAGGACCAAGGGATAATGCTTGTAGCTGAATAGTCGATAATGTTATACTTGAGTAATTGAAAACAAATTTCTCTGGAGATTCGGGAAAGGAAGCTTGCGTCTCGGTCTGTTTTAGACTTTTTATTAATTTCAGTATAACATCTTCAGTACGATTTTTGCTCACAATATCAATGTAATCTTTGAAATTGAAACGTTGATCTTCTGACAAATCAAATAATATATGTGAGCGTAATGAGATATTTCGTTCTAGTTCTGGTATTCTAGACTTAATTTCATCGACATAATTGAGAGTAAGACGTTTTAACGAACGATGATTTGGATGAATATGATTACGGCGTAATGATTTGAAAAATGGTCTCGGATATTCGCGTTTGTCTATACAGCTTCTCAGAAAATTGATTCTAGTATTCGCTATAGCAAGCTTGACAGAATAACCAAGAAACCCACTGAGTTCCTTCACTGTCACAGGATCCTTGCAACTTTTCAGATAATTAAAATAACCCATAGTGTCATTGAATAAGAAAAAGAGAATTCAGCGAAGAAAATTTTCTTTTCGACGAAATCATTTACTTAAGCTGTACATTCGTAAATCCGATACTTCGACCAATAATTGAAAGATTTCATTTATATAAAAGATATATGGATGACACTTTCATTATTTGCGAAGAAGACAGTGACCTCAATGATATATTGAATATTTTCAATAACTGTCACCCATCAATCCAATTCACCTTAGAAGCAGAGACAAACAACGAATTTCATTTTCTTGATATCCATTTAAAAAGAATGCCTGACGGTTTATTACAGAGATCGATATACAGAAAACCCACTTGGAATGGACAATACACGAACTTCCACAGTTGGGTTCCATTAATTAGAAAAAGGAACTTAATTCATTCTTTATCCTCAAGGATCAGGCGAATTTGTTCCAACGACACAATAGATGGGGAACTATTTTATCTTCGACAGGCCCTCATCAAAAACGGTTATCCACCGAGATTCATCGATAGAAACTTGGTACCTAGACCCCATGATAAAGCATTGACAGTAGAGAAAAAAACTCTATTTATGAATATGGAATTTAAGGGAGATACAGCTGCTGAAATCCTAAATAAACGGATTTCGAAATCAATGAATAAAACATTCCACGCAGCTAAACTTCGAATCATCTTCTCTAGCCGACCTACCATTCTGGGGTGTGTAAAGGACAAACTTTCGCTTTGGGCCACTTCAATGTGTATCTATAAATTTACTTGCTCATGTGGGGCATGTTACATAGGCCGCACAAAGCGATCATTATCCAAACGCATCTCGGAACATTATCCGGCTTGGCTTTTGAAAGGGGAGCGAAAAACAATCACGAGTTCTATACAGGAGCACTTAATCAACTGTGGACATATCGCTCCAAAAGACTCTTCGTTTAAAATAGTTTACAGAGTCAAAGGAACTGGATCGAAGGGGGTTCGAATCAATATTTTATGCACCGCAGAGGCATTGGCAATCCACAAACTAAAGCCTGAACTTTGCGTGCAGAAACGATTTGTCCAGCCTCTTATCCTTCCTTGGCCTTAATGGGTATGTTGCTAGGTTGTTTTTTTGTTTTCCTAATGCACTTTTATTATTATCCATATTTTTAAATTACTATTTTGCACTTTAAACTTTAATCATTTATTATTATTACCTTTTACAAGTTTTCTTGATTATCATTCAGTTTATTATTATGACCTTTGTTGTTTTGTCGTTTTTCTTCATATCTGTCAATCTGTCAATTGGACTATTATCTGACCCTTAAATTTTGTTCTTCCTTACCCCTTGATTAGTACGTTAACCTCATTTGTTATTTATTGTCGAATCCATTTTTTTGTGATACAACCCTTTCTATCCTTCTATAGACATACATTTTCCATATAACTATATATACGAATGTACAGCTTAAGTAAATGATTTCGTCGAAAAGAAAATTTTCTTCGCTGAATTCTCTTTTTCTTATTAGATGAATCTCTATATGGATTTCAGAGTTAAATTGTTTACTCAGGATATTTCATATTATCTGTTGGCTTTTATTAGAATAATTTTCTAAGCATATTCCATACAAATCTCAGTTTAATATTATTTAGAGAATGCTTATTTTCGCGTATTTTTTTTCTAAAATAATCCTTATAATCTTACTCAGTAGTTGTAAATGAAAATTGTTGTTAACCTTCAATTCTATATATTGCTTTTTAGGTGTTCTCATTGATCACTATAGTTTCATTACAACTTGTTTGATAATGTTATTTCTTTGTTTAATATCGGTGGGAATGTTATGGTGTTTACCAGAAACACAATCTTTCAATATACAAACAGCTGATATCTCTTCTTTTAATAATAATTTCAATAGTAATGTCTCTGTGTGTAATACAGAATTTTATTCATCTAATCAGTCAGAATCATATAAGAAAAACTGGTTTTTGAAGTCAACCGAGATGATTAATGTAAGTTATTACAAATGTATTTTCCGGTTCAGAGGTTATCAATGACAAGCACTCACAATTTACACGAAATTGAAGTCCATGAACCTTTAGGTTTTGTAATGTGCACAATACTATTGAATAATGAGGTTACATTTTCAATTCCAGTTAACTTTAACTGGTCAACAAATTTATGTTAGTTTGTTAAGAAAACCATAACACTGACTAAAGATCACAATATACTGCAAATTTTTAAAATTATAGGGCGTTTACCATATGATTCTAAACAAAGGATCCCGTGGCAGTAAGCCTACAATATCGTTTAAATATTCATTTTGTCGATTTCTTGTGAGGTAGATGTTTAGAATGAGAATTAACTATCTACTCTTCAATATCCATTGGCTTAAAGATATTCCTGCTTTGTTTGAAAGTTATAGAAAATTAATATTTTTTTGCAAACCTTTTTTGCTTATGTAGTTTATTTACTCCCGTTTTATTATCTCTACATATGTTAACTTGAAATGATCTAGATTTTCTGTTTATTATCATAATTTATCTTCAAAAGAGTCAAACCTTTTTAAAATAACTATCAATTATATACGAAGTTTTTAAGAGTTTGCACTTATCTAATGTATCATTTGATTAGGTGATTGTATTTCTAAATTATGTAAGAAAGTGATAGCAAATGGTTAAAGTAGGATAACTAGACATTGATGATAAAATTTTTGTACTGTCAGTTTCATCTCATGTTTCTATTTAATGATCAGCGACATCCTGTTGCACAAAATATTCCGTTGTTGAATTAGTCAAAACCAATTATCAAATCAATTTGTTTGTTGTGATTTTATGTTTTCATCATAATCTATGTAAATAGTGGTATTTTTTCCTGAATATTATTTCTTTTCATTCATAGACTAAGCTATGTTTCCTGTTATTCAGTTGCACAATGATATAAGAAGTTCTGATTGAAGAAGAAGGATAACTTTTATTTGTTATTGACTGATTATATCATCAGTATAGATCCGTTCAGATTATCATCCAATCCGTCATTTGGGAAAGACAACTGTTTATTAGGTTTACTGATTCAAAAAATAAACTCATATTTGTTAATATAATACTTAGTTTTTGATAATAGTTTCTTCCTCGGCACTTTCACATAATTATTATGACATACTCTATTGGTGATGTACATTTATATCCATACATGAATTGATTAAATATATAAAAAATTATATTTTCCTTCTCAGTCATGTTTTTTCACCACATGTTTTAGTCATATGGTACTCAGGTTTCATTTTGGAAATAGTATTTTTTTTCAAAATTCTAACCTTAAGATCATACATAAATCCAAATTGTTATTTAATGTTGATAAATTAAAGTACAAACTGAAATGAACTCACTAAACTGGATACAGTAGACTATAGACTCATATTGCCAAATTTAAAAATGACAGAAACAAAATAGATAACGTTAAATTCTTTATACTGTTATCGTTTATGAACATTAAATAAAAGATGAATACTTTTGTAGTTCAATCTCGTTATATTCACATTGAGCTATTCATTATAGTTCGGTAAAGTTTTGTTTATTGAACGTTTCAATGAAAAGTATCATGGTTAATTTTTTGCTAATTTCTTAATATACAATAAAATATTTCGTCATGGGAAAAATCAATCTAAACATATCAGAATTCACTACAAATCTGATATTTTCCTTCTTTGTTATATTCATGTTGCCGACCAGTAAATACAATAATATGCGAATTCAATGAACACTGAGAATGGTGAACTATTTGTATTTTGATTATTTGAAAAGGCATTAAATGATCAGTCATAGAAGTATATCACCAATTAAACTTCATTGTTTATTCCTATTCCCTAAAGTTACATTTATGCACTTCGGTTTACATGATCTACCATTTGCACTTGATATGCTACTTAACAAGGATGCAACATGAAAGACTCGGTTAAACCACATATATATTGGTCTATGACCCAGTTTTTAGTAACCAGTATTATCATGTTCAGTAAACGTATAATTTTCTTTCAGTGTCTCACTAATTACCACTTGTAAGCCACGATTTTTCTAAAGTGAAAAAAATGTTAATCAAAGTTAAGCTTATGGTACAAAGCTGAAGGTTGCTCATCCTAAGCCTTAAGGATTTTGATCAGATGAATAATAAGTTAGAACTAGTTAAGACGGTATATTAAAGTTCAAATCACTTCCGATATTTGTTTATTTTCTCAGTCACTATTTGACTGCTATGGTTACGTAGTAAAACCATGAACGCTTTCACATCCTCTCATTATTCAATTAATCTCTTAACCTTTCCTGCCAAATATTTTTTTCTGAAGCTAAACAGTTTGCTTACAAATACAAAAGAAGCACCACAGATGCTGCTATTGTTCTGTACTACAATATAATGTTAAGCCTGGAAATAGTAACAGGTATGTCCGATAAGCATTTCTAGACTATACTCATGCCTTTGACTCTATGCTATGACAACTACTGCTTAACAAGTTTGTCAAAATCAACAGTGAAATCTGGATAACCAACTGGCTGTGTTCCTATCTTTCTGGAAGAGAACAGTACAGAGTATTTGGAGGAAAGTGTTCAACGTCTTTGCTGACCCATTAAATTGTGCCACGAGGAGCACTTTTTTACCCTCTTCCTTTTTCTATTTTTCTTCATGACCTGCCATCTCCCACAGAAAACACTTTTGCTGAATATGCGGACAATCTCATTGTACGCATGTCGATTTCTACCTCTCCACATCCAATTGAAATGAATGAGTTCTTGTCTCTTGTTGAACGATAGTCTGTTGTTAGTTGTCGCACACCTAATCCTTTTAAATGTCAAACTGTTAACTTGAGCCTGGAGTAAGAACAGCTCTCAAACACCCCATTGGAATCCTACAAAGCTTTTACTATTGGAGATTCTGTAGTGAAAACTGTGTCAATGGTCATTTATCTTGGTCTACGTGTTTCTTCTGATCTCTCCTGGTCTTCTTATGTTTGTGTTATCGAGGAAAGTTTTCCATTTGACTTACTATATGAAAGGGATACATTTACTTTTACGATTTGTTGATTCTTGTATAATATTTTTTTTTACCGCTCCCAATACACTTTTCCAGGTTTTTAAGAAAAGATTTTGCAGTATTGCGGAGAAAGCTGAAGGCAGTTAGCGGGGTAGATAGATTTTTAGATAGATATTTAAAATCTTTCAAACCCCTAACAAGTGTTATCAGATACTAATCATCCACTTCGTTTATATCTTTCTTCTTGTATATCATCTAGTAAGATGAGGCGTCAATGCATTACGATCCACGCATTCAAACAAAGATATAAATGCTCTACAATACTTAATCTAACAAATATACTATGTGATAAATAGGTCGTTAGAGTTTACCTAGTCAATAACTTGTATTCTTAAACATGTTTCTAATTAAAAAGTTGTGCAGATCTCAATCTTAATAAAAAGCATTTCATTTAATTCCAGGTAGTTTATTTACTTAATTTATTCATGTGTATGCAGTTATCAGTTTTTCGACTTCGTTTTCTTTTTTTTGTGAAACAAACATGTTGAAATACTTTGTGCTAAGAATTTTATATTGTTGAAGACATAATGGAAATTCAGCGTACATCTTAAGAGCAGTTTCTTTAGATTATCGTCAGGCAAACCAAAGTTGATTTGTTTTTCTGATATTTGCTTGCATATAAACTCAATAGTCTCCATAAGTGGTACGTTGGTGAAAAAAGATACTACATCCACTGAGATCATATTTTTCATGCTAACATTCATATTTTCCACTTTGGAGGTGAAGTCGAAGACATCTTTTACACTATTTCTAGCAACTGATTTGTGCAAAGGCTCTAAGATTCGCACTAGCCACTTTGCAATTTTGTGGTAAGGAGAATTGTACATATCTTAGGACTGGGCGTAGAGGAAGACCCAGTTTATGAACTTTAGACAAACAGTACAATCGTGGAGTATATGATCCAGTCGGCTTAATTGAATCATGAATCTCAGTCGTAATTATTCCCTTTTTCTTTAGATCCTTAAGGAAATTAGCCAATTGTTTTTCTACTCTATTATTGATGTCATAATTACTAGTAACTTTCTGAAATTTGCTAGGATCACTAAGCATTGTTTCCATTTTTTTCGATGTAATCCTTTTTATTCATGAGAACTATACCTTCTCTTTTATTTTTGTCTTCAACAATACTTATTATAGACAAATAGACGGGATAGTCATGGGCTCTCCTCTAGGCCCGATTTTAGCTGATCTCTTCCTAGCAAAGTTAGAAAATGGACCTCTTAATGAAACTATTAAGAAATTTTATATTGTACCAAAAATATATTGAATAAAGCCATTAATAATAATAGTAAACGTACAATAAACTGGCTAATTAATAATAAATATAATTTTCGTTATATCCCAATGAGTAGAAAAATTGTATTTCTGACATTTCGTGACTTAATGCACGTCACTTCTTTAGAGTAAATAAAGGTTTTTAATCATAGTGATAAAATTCAATTCTGACTAAAGTTTTTAAAATTTTTAAACTACTCAAATATCACAGTATTATTCTTATTTATTTTAGCTAGTTCGAAATGCCAATATTATCACAGTTTTAGTCTTAACAGTTTTGTTCTTGACAACATTGACTACATATAATGAAGGTCAATATACATTTTTATATTTAATGGGACCTCCATTCAATTGGTCTGTTGATCAGTATGGTTATTTTAGGTAAGTTAAATTATAATAGTTTACATAAACAATACTTATATGTCTAATTGTAATATACAAAATAACATACAAACTATTTTTCTTTTATTAGTGGATTAAATTCTACTCTCCTGGGTTTATTGTCGTTTGGATTAACTTGGATTACTACTCATTGGATGAAAGTTGTTAAACGGCATCGGATATCTGAAGCATCAGAACCTTTACTTACTAATCAATCAGTTTCCGGGTACAATTCTATTCATGAAGTTGATTCAATTGATCATAATAATAACAGTATTAGTAGTTCATCGAATATAATTATTCAAAATGAAGTATTACGAGCACGTCGACGTATGATAAAGTATGTAATATGTGGGATGATTGCAATTGTAATTAGTAAATTGCTTATGGGATTAGCATTTTTGTTTCCTTCACCTGGCCATAATATTGCCGTATTTGTTAGTAAGTTTTGTTTTTCAAAAGATATATCTGTATATTTTTTGTATGTGATTTTTGTTTAAAATTACCGTACTGTTTCGTAATATTTACTATATTACGTAATTTAATTAATTTATATACAAATAATGAAAATGTTAAAAGTTTTATTATCTTAAAAATAAGTGAATTTTTGAATTTATCCAGCCATAGGACATTTTGTTGAATATTTTATCTACACCACAGTTGAGTCACTTCCCAGATAGCTCAGTGGTAACGTCTCTAACTGTGAAGCTGGGCGACATGGGATCGGACCCGTCAGGGAGCACCAGTTCCCTCAAGATTACAGATACACCTTGCTGACTAGTACCAAGTAGCACGGAACCCGGGTCCAGGGTTTCCTGTCGACTACCTCCAACCACCATCTAATAGTAAGACTTGCTCTAACTGAAATATGAATTATGAAATTTGAATCTATGACATTGTGGTTAGTCTGTCTTTGCTCAAACTAATATAGTCAAATGACTGATCACTCAGTAGTGATGAGTGTCATTCGTCTAGTCCTTTTGTCGGTTAAGTTTTAATATGGGAACTAATTTAAGTAACACGACATCGTATACACTACGTTGATATGTTAATTGGTTGAAGGTAGTTGACAGAAAATTCTAGATTTCAGCTTCGAGCTTGCTGACACTCGTCAGCAAGGCAATACCTGCAAACTTTAGGGAGTTAATAGTCCGTGTGAAGCTTTAATCCATGTCACTTAGGTTCAAAATCTGTGTTGTTACCACTAAGCTATTCGGGTCGTAACTGATCTCTTATATAACTAAGATCTTTACAACTGATTCGTCACTAAGTAGTGACCGATGTCATATATGTCTAGTCCTTCAGTGTTGATTGAATCCTAACAATCAATTTGCAATTATGAATATCTTAAATGAAGCCAGAACAAATACTGATTCAGAACAATATGAATTAATTATATTTCATGCTTTCTCATTAGCTGCTTACAACCGAATGTTCGCATTTCTGAGCATGTTTCAAAGAAATTGAGGCTGAAAGGGAATAGGGCTCTCAACAGTGCAATAGCTCGGCATTTACTTGACACCGGGCATACCATTGACATTCCTCATGCTTTTAAAATTATTAGCAGACAAAGAAATACGGCTTCTCTCTGTTTTGCTGAAACGATCGCGATAAAAAAATCAAAAAGAGATAGTAATAAACTTACTACTACCCTGGTAATCCATTTTTCTTGGTCACTAGTTTTATTTTGTTAATGTTTAGTCTGTGTTATATTCTTCTTCCATTACTGAATTCTTAAACCACCTCTTTACTCTTGCATTTCCACTCACTTGATCCACTTAAATTATATATATATATATATATATATAGTTATCATTGATAACCTTTGTCATTCCGATTCTTTAGATTAACTTATGTCAATTGTTCCATACTATTTCTTATCTCATTGTAAAACCCGAATACATATTTGGTGGCAAGCACGATGAGAAACCACGAAATATAATGAATTCATATTATTCTGCATTAATATTTGTTCTGGCTTTATTTCAATTCATAAAGGGAACTAATTGCATGAAATTTACGAATATCTTAGTCCTCCAGGTGATCATTTGCTGCGATTACACTAGCGCAGTGGTTAATGTAACATAGCAAAGTTAAATGTAAAGTAGTCTTTTAAATAGCATTGAAACAAGTAGTTTGTTATTATTATTATTATTAATATTATTAATGGGTTTATTCAATATTATATTTTGGCACAATATAGAAATTCTCAGCACAGGGCATTTCAACAAGCTTCTTACACAAAGAAACAGAAACAAAGACAAAAAAAGGGAAAAAAGGTTTAAAAAATCTGTTAAACTGTAGAACTTTTCAAATTAGAGACATGTTATGAATGCAGGTTATTGACTAGGTTAACTCTAACAACCTGTTCGTCACAGAGTATATTTGCTAGGTAAGATATTATAGAACTTTTATACTTTTGCTTGCGTGCATGGATTTTAATGTAATTACGTCTCGTTCTACCAGAGGATATACAAGGAGAAAGATAAAAGTGAAGGGGATGGTTAGTATCTGATAAAATAACACCTGCCAGGAGTTTGCATGACTTTAGATGTCTATCCACAACCATATTAATTATGACCTCGAAAGATTCACTACACGTCTTGCTAACTGCCTTCAGCACTCTCCGCAATACAGCAAAGTCTTTTCTTAAAAGCCCGGGAAAGAATAATGGAGAACAGTAAAGAATAATTGGTAATATGCAAGAATTGACAAATTGTAAGAGTAAATGACGAGTAATCCCAAGAGCATGCAATCTCTTTATATATCAAGTCAGACGTAAAACTTTCTTCGATAACAATAAAACGTGAGAAGACCAAGAGAGATCAGAGGAAAAGGTAACACCAAGATAATTGACCTTCGACACTGTGTTTATCAAAGAGTCTCCAATGGTACAAGCATTATGGGATCTCAAAATGGTGTTTAAATTCCGTTCATGTCTCATACTAAAGTTAACAGCTTGACATTTAAGCGGATTAAGTATGAGACCATTACCAACAGACCAACAATCAATACGAGAAAAAAACTCATTCATTTCTATGGGATGTAAAAAGGAAGAGATAGGCATACATACAGTGAAATCATCCGCATATTTCACAAAAGTGTTTTCTGTGGAAGATGGCAGATCATGTAGAAAGAAAGAGAAAAGAGGAGGTGAAAGAACAGCTCCTTGTGGTACACCTTCATGAGACAGTAGAGACTCTGAACACTTTCCTCAAAATACAGTGTACTGTTCCCTTCCAGAGAGGTAGGAACATAGCCAGTTGGTTATCCAGCTGTCAGTGTTGATGCTGATTAACTTGTTAATTAAACGTCTTGCTATAGAATCAAAAGCTGAAGTATAGTCCAGAAAAGCGCATCGAACATACTTCTTACCCTTTTCTAAGTTGAACACTATATTGTGATGCAGAACAGCGACAGTATCTAAGGTGTTTCTTTTGCATCTGTAAGCAAACTGATACGGATCAATATGCTTTTTTATCGCAGGCTGAATGGAAGTGTGAACAATTTTTCCATTGTTTTGAGGAAGGGTGAAGTTAAAGTCTAAATTTCACATTTTTTTCAACAGATGCTTTCTTGGGTACTGGGATTATCTTCATCTTTCTCCACGTTTTCGGTATGAGATTAGATGAGAAGGATCTGTTAAAGATAGTCGTGAATGGATAACGTAGAACGTCAGCAAATTTTTTAAAAAGGAGGTTTGGGATACCATCAGGTCCTAAACATCGGGATGAATTAAGTGACTGGAGACATCTTCGGACATCAGTTTCAGTGGAACTAGGAACACAGCTATTCTTTTGTTGTGGATGCGGAGGAATAGACCAATAATTATCATGTTAAGTCCAATGGTGTCCTTGGACTTTAAATGGACATTTCCTATTGGTCGATATCTGTTTACTCGATGAATATTGTACAAAATGTTGTTTTCTATTTTATGGCACGATGTGGTATGCTTGACTGGTATATAAACAAAGTATGTTTGAAATATAATGATTCATATCTCCGAGGCTGTGACTTTTGTTCTCCACTCAACTGGGCTAGGACAGACAGCGGGGCAGGGCCAATCAGGGCACTAGGTCGTCCCTTACGTGTTTTCCGTGTCACTCTCACCGAATCGATCAATAAACGCTGCTTATCAAGACCTGCAGTCACATCAGTCATAACATCTTTAGATCTGTGGATGAAGGGAGTATTACATCAGATGACTGACGCTTAAAAGACTTATTTATGTCACAAACATTCAGCTGGTTATCGCTCCTAATCTGTCTGTCACCTATAAGTTTTTTAAAGAGTTTCCACATACTTGTAGAGTTTTGAGTAAACATAGAGTTGAGACGTCTAATCTCTAGGTTTATCAGACCATTTAGCTTATGAACTTCATTAGAGTTTTTCTCCTTGTACATTTTTTCTTTCACCCTCCGTAGTCGTTTTAGTTGTGAAGATGTAAGTCGATCAAAACTTACAAAAATGGTTTCAGAGGGACAACAGATATCAAAACAGAATTTAAGGTAACAAGTGATAACATCAGTAGTATTTTCCAGTGAGTCATCTGTAAATAATTCCCAGTTAGTCGTATGAAGCATGTTTTTCAGATTTCGGATATTTTCTTCTGAGAAATTCCTATATTTGACTTTCTTGGTTTGATGTAAGAGTGTACTCTTCCCATGCTTTCCATATACTTTAGGTAGAACACGAGTTATACAGTGATCCAAGCTAGACAATGGGGCACGTTTACGAGTCGCATATATACCCACATCATTAATGAAAACGAAGTCTAAATGAGCATCCAAACGAGTAGGAAAATCTACTACGTTTTGGTGACCTAGTGACGGAAGGAAGCTACAGTCACATGAATTAAAATCACCACATACAACTGAAAGTGAATCACTGAAGGCAGTAACAGCGAACTGAGTGAATTCATCAGCGAAAACAGATAGCGCAGATGATGTGCAGTCTGGAGTCACGTAGATATTGGTAACACAAACATATTTGTATTTATTCAGATGTTTTGGACGGCATCTTAGAGTTAGACAGTCGACAAAGTCATTTAAAAACTTGAAACACGCAAACGAAGATCGACACCAGTTCACGCTTACAAACGTAGCTACACCGCCGCTACACCGCCGCTACACCGCCGCCACACCTCCTTTTATTGTTTGATCGATCTTGACGATAAATTTTGAAATCACGTAGTGATACTAGGCAGTCGTCCTGTAAATCATTTAACCAAGATTCTTAAATTGTGATGACACCACAATGACGATACATATTTTGACTTAGTAGGAATTGAAGATAGTCCACTTTGTTGATTAGTGATCGGCAGTTAGAATTTAGCAGCTCGGGAATCGACATACGACTAATGTTCATTCTCTTTAACGCATACTGCCGGCCACCACGATGATGCCCTTTAAAGTAATTTTTTGTAACTTGTGCAGCGAAAGGTCGTAGGCTTTTCATAAACGCGCCTCTATAGGTTATGTGATTAATGGACATAATGAGATGTTAAAACAAAATGAAAAAACAAATAACTTGTTGAAATAATTAAATGGCAAAAACAGGTAGCCCAGATATTCAAGCAGGTCGCCGTTAATATAATGCACTAGTTTAATTATTTCTGTTTATTTATAACTGTAAGTGTATAAAGTTATATTTTTGTTCTACAGGTTTATTTGTATCTATCTTTCGATCAGCTGTTGTACCGGTGCTCAAATCATTCACATCATCTCTATATACTTCCAAACTTCAAAGTAAGTGTTTCTTTTTTTGTTTAAATTATTTACACTGAAGTACCTAACGAGTGTAGTGTTTTGGTCATTTTACATTTGGTTAATTACTAATTTTTAGAAATTGTATATAACAGTACATTAAAATTGTTTACTGTCTCAGTGATCTTTCATCTTTCATTCGCAAGATTTTAGTTTCAATAGTCGAGAATTACTTTTGTTTTAACAAATGAGATTAAGATTTTAATATATACACTAGTTTTGAATAACGGGTACTATTAAGATCATCACAGAAAAGTTGGTGTATCATATAGTAATCACTATTAATCTACTATCCTATGGATCAAATGTTTTTCAACAAAGTCTCATATACATTTGGCGTACTAAGATAAAGCCAGGAAATATTAACAACAATAATGTTTTCTAGTAGAAGGTTACAATTAAGAAAACGAAGTAATGAAACAGTGGCGTAATGTTTAAGGCGTTCAACTGTAAGCTAATAAGTTCTATGTTCAAGCCCTATCTCACCTACTTCTGTTTGAGCAGATGGGTAGTATTATGAATCGTCACACTTGGAGTGTGGCCCCTATCTAAGTACTTGGAGGATGAAGTAATCTAAACAATAATTAATTAAGATTCTCATTATTTGTTAAAAATTCTGCCTTCAAAAACATTTTTAACGTAGTATAATAAATCACTTGGCAAGATTGTCAGTGTTTATCTACCCAAGTAAGCAATTAGACAAACATATAAATATAGAATCTTGTGTATCTGTTGAGTTTTCATATCAAAAGAAATGAACTTTGGCGAATGCAAGTCGATTACTAACATTTGCAAGATTTCGATGAAAGCTAGAAATGGATGTACGTAGGAGATCGTGATGTCATTTGGAGTTTCCAATCACGGACTTCACAATATGTACGATTGTTGGAATGAATTTATTACATTACTGATTTCGTCAATATTTAATTGTGATTATTGTCTGTTATTTCAGCCGTTGTAACGAAGAAATTATTGAAGAATCTAAAACTTGTAAAACTATTTTTCAAAATATTATTGTTCATATTTCTGTTAAATGATTATTAAATGACTAGACTTTTATATTTCTATATTCTACTTATTGTAAACTGCCGTGGGGTCTATTAGTTGTTGTTATACATTTTACCATCTCCGAGTTATAATTCATTGATTATGTGCCGTTTACTCTGTTCTCTACCACTAATAGTAGGATTGTATGTAAAGTATAATTCCTCATTTGGGATGTGTTGTCGTCTTATTATTCATGTTTATGAACTATTGAGTGTTAGTGATATATAAAACTGAGTCTCCGTAATATACTTATGGAAGCTTTCCTACTTATGCTTTTATATGGGCTTTAGACTAAAGATAGAAGGATTGCATATCGTTGGAACGATAAGAGTTAAGATTACCACGACCTCGACTCAAGATTAATCTTGCCAGTCGAAGTGTAGCAATGCCTAGAACGCCAGAGTATAAACAAAATAGTATACGCAGCGTACACGCATTCGAATAGAGCATCTTATTGTAGAATCTTCTCTCTCTATATAAACTAATGTGCATTTATAACACTAGCTGGTTTATATTTTTGACTGGTGTTTCACATTACCTGTAGAAGGTTACCTGTTCTAAACAGCAGTTGAAATCACATGTTAAAAATGTTAGATAAAGGGACTAAAATTCAATCTTCATCAAACAGGTACATTCATTCTTCAAGTATTCACTGTGTAAATTATAGTTATCTTATTGTATAATATGAATCTTTTTTAATTTCCCTTTTTTCTTTTACAATATTCGACTTGACTACTCTTATTGTTCAACTGTTTTCAACCTAGTAATTATTTTCATGTTTCAAAGTATTGTATCGTTTCTCATTTAAATTCACTTGGTATTGTTTACTTGAGTCTTCCCATTGATGTTTAGGACCGCAATTGATCAGTCTTTTATTGGCATATGTGCGTACTATGCGTACTGCCTCGATATCGCCTTAACCCACAAGCATTCTAAGCAACGATGGATAGTGGCTAGCAGTGGAATCCAGGACGCGCTTTTCATCCTGTTCGGAACTCGTGAACATCAACTCTGAGATGCAGGTGCATCCAGCTGACGAGTTCCAAATAGGACGAAACGTGCGTCTTCGATTCCACTGCTAGCCACTATCCATCTTTGGGTTTCTCATTTAGTTTTATTTTTTATTTGTGTCATTTGTGATGGCAAGCTATTTCCCCATCACATATATATGTATATGTTTCGTTCACTCATTCATTCATTAATTTATGCAATGTACTATCATTAATATAAATACTTGTTTTACTTTAGATATTAAGTTAAATTTTCATGTGGTCGATGTATTTTGTATCATCTGTTATTTCAGTTCACATTTATTCATTTCTTTCTACTACATTGGCACTAAATATTTATGTAAATTTAGCTTCCAATGTTTTGTGACAAGCCATATATATATATATATATATATATATACTTTTGTAGATAATGTTTATACGGTGAATTTCATAGACTACTAAAATTTGTCAAAATCAAGGTTTGCATAAAAATTCTCATTTTTAACCTGTAACCTTTATAAGAAATAAAAATCTTCATATTATACCAGAGATAACTGTTATATATGACCTTTTTTATTAATGGCTAATTAAATGAAAAGCAAAGAATATCATAGAGAGAGAGAGAGTCTTCGAAACTTTGACCAGTTCATATATTCCTCTTAAATTGATTCTTTTTTATGGAGTTGTCCATTCTTCTGGAAAGGAGGACATCAAATAAATCTAAAATCTTTTCATGTTCCCTTTCACTTATGAATTAACTGGCTTTATTGTATTACGTTATTAGGGTTTGATACGGGCATACACTACTTGTGGAATTAGGAAAATAATTGAGCTGCTCTAATACTATCGGTTCTCTTTTTAATCGATGACGACAACTTACACAAAACACATTAACACCTAACGGTTAATTCAGAGAGAAGATGAATTTGAGGAAAAACTGTTCAACAGCTCTTATTTATTGATACCATTGCCGTATATGATTAGTTTTTTTTATCTGAGTGTTGATAGTATTATTCGAACTTATTCAAACTATCATTTACTGACCCGTTCTCCAGTTTTGCTAGGAAATTGTCGGTGATTATCAAACCTATGGAAGTGCCCGTTGCTATTCTATCTATTTGTCTGTAGAAATCATTGTTAAGCTTTTAGTGCATATTCGATACCTGATTCTTTATCCAGTTGGGAGTCACTAAATCGTCGTCTGGTTTTATTTTTCGAATGTTTTCTCAATACTTATTAGTTACTATGTTTTATATGAGATGCTTATTGCTTTTAAACTGACTAGAACAGTCGATCATTTTCATCTTTTTTTACAACTACAAAGTCTTATATCCGGATTAATACAATCTCAAACTGAACACCTTTCTTCAAATGCCACACATATCCATGCCTATCATAAAACTTCTGACCTAGTTATAAAACCTCTATTTAGAATATCAAAAGAAACTTTAAATCCGTATCGGTTTTCAGGAAAGTTAGATTCATATATTTTAACTGTTTAGCCCCTTGATTATATATATTCTTTTCTTGTTTCCCCTTATTCGTTATATGCCTAAAATATATTTCATAAACGGGTCGTTTAGATTTTAAGGAAGATCCTCAATACAATATAAACTCGGTGTAAGATTTTCTTTTTATTTAATAGTATACGGTTAAAGCGATTCACTATGCCGTGAGGCATATCGTTTCAGCTACTTAATCAATGGATTTGAATTTATATTGACGAAGAGATGTGCAATAATGTTTAGGATAATGGTTCATCACAGTGCAGTTATTGTATTTCTGATAGATATATTTTTTGAGTGATATCACGTGTCTTATTGTTGTTATGACTTATATATTTTCTTTCTCTTAGGTAGCTTATTTTCTGTGATTGCACTATCTGAATACTTGAGTCTTCTTATTGGTATTGGTAGTTTACCGTATATTTATGCAGCGACGGTAACATTTTGTTCTGGTGCAGTGTTTTTTGTCTCATCAGGATTAGCTTTAATTGCTTTTATTCTACTTTTGTAAGTTTGAAAAAAAATTATTGCCGAAAGAAATAGTGTTTCTTTCTTTTCATTTATCAGTAAACTAATTTATTCAAACTAAATAAATTTGTTATTAAATGGTTGAGTTCATGAGTCAATTACAGCTAGACCACTATGAAAAACCTGGAAGCAATGGACGGCCGATTTTCCTAGTATGGGACTCCTCAACAGTGCTCATCCACGATCCCGCTCGCGAGATTCGAACGCAGGATTTTTGGTCTCGCGCACGAGTGCCTAACCTCTAAACCACTGAACCGGTATCCAATGATATTAATGTTTAACTTCAACCAATCCACGAAATTGATTATAATTAGTTAAAAGAAATTTATGATAGCTTAATGAATGGATAAAATTATGGCATGATTTGTGATGAAAATAAATGATATTTTTACAGAACACTTTATTTAGTATATAAATCTTATAATAAAAGTAACTAATATTTTTTAATGTTTCTATTTCTGGCTCTATTTTTTGTCTTTATTACTGCAAATATGATGTTTGTTAACTTTTCAGTGTAGTGCGATATGTTATGTGATATGAAGAAGTTGCACAAGCACTGTGCACTAGAAAATCTAATTTCATTTAACTGTTGTTAATAGAGTAAAAGTAATGTAATTTGTTTACTTTTCCTCAAAAAAATGATTACATATTGGTCTTAAACATATTTAGTATTATGAAATTTTGAGTAAATGTTCCTTAGAGCATTTAGCTTTCTATTAATTGGTTGAAGATTGGAATTTACCTTTAGCCTACTTCGGTTTTGGCTACCTCGTAGTATTTTATATTCGTTATAAGAAAACTATAATTCAGAGGACAATATCTGAACTAGGACTTTGAATTACATCAAATCTTCACTGTGCTTAACTAGCATGATTACTAGAAGTCATTTAAAAATTGTTCTTTTGAACGATTTTTCGACCATATTTGTATATTTGGTTATTCTCTATTTGTATCAGACGGGGTTTTTCGCAGATATTTTAGTGATTTCAATAGTTCAGATCATGAGTCAGTTGGAACTAGACCACCATCGAAAAACTGGAAGCACTGAACGGCCGTTCCGTCCTAGAATGGGACTCCTCAGCAGTGCTCATCCATGACTACGGCTCGCGAGATCGGAACCCAGAAACTAACAGTTCCACGTGTGTGCGTTTAACCACTAGAACACTAAGCCGGCACCCGACGTTGTTAGTGTCTAGCTTCAATCAATCCACGAAATTCAGCGATACATCCACCATTGTCATCAGGAAGTTACTATCTCACAACCGACCCGGTTGAACTCCACTGGTCATTGCTTCTCACTAGAACTCCAGGAATTACCTCTTGAAGCTAGCCGCTAGTGAGCATATGCTATTTAGTATGAAAAGGGAAGGAGTCCCGTAATAGGACGAAACGGCTGTCTAGTGCTTCCAAGTTTTTCATGATGATCTAGCTTCGATTGACTCATAATCTCAACTATTAGTATTCTCTACATAATAATAATGATAATAGTTGATAGGTTGATTTAAACGCAACATTTACGTTATATCGACATTAATACACTAAATTCAACTACTAATTAATTCGATTGACTCATAATCTCAACTATTAGTATTCTCTACATAATAATAATGATAATAGTTGATAGGTTGATTTAAACGCAACATTTACGTTATATCGACATTAATACACTAAATTCAACTACTAATTAATTCACTTTTCAAGAGGTCTATACAATACACTAACATTTTTATTCCTTTTACGTATTCTTACGTAATTTACAATCTAATAGAATAATTGATCGAATTCATGTATCCTTCATATATATCAACAAATATGTATGTTTAGAAAACATTTAATTGCACTCCAGTGCATTTACTGTAATAAATGCTCACCGATGTAATGTAATAATTAATTTAATTGAATCTATCTACGTTATAGTTAAACTTCTATTAATTACCCCTATTGGCTTACTTTTATCCTGTTTATTTTTCTTCGTTCATTCAGATACATTTCACGTTATACTAAAAAAGAAATAAAGAATACTGATTTCAATCAATCGAATATTATTGAAATAGTAGATACTATTAATAGTTAGAAACAAGTAGAATCATTCCATTTTTTTCATTGGACTATATGATTATGATTATTGGTTATACTTGGGATCTCTCTTTTCTTTTTTTAATGTAAATAATTGTTTTCCTTTTGTTGTTAATTTTCACAGCTATTTTCTTTTAAATGAATCTCAAGTGAACTTATTATACCTTTTTTTTAAAATGAAGAATTTAAGGTTTGATTAAACTTTGGCTTTATAATATAATAAATAAATTTTATTTATAAAATAATTACATAAGACATTCTGATTTACATCTATGATTAAGTTGGACACATGAAGGTATGCCACATGTAAAAGATAGAGATATATGTGTGAATTTGTTTTTAAAAAGGTGTGTTTCATAAAGTGTTTCGAATGAATATTTGTTACAGAGTTTATAACGATGTAGAATGGTACTTGAAAACTAGTATACGTCATTGTGATCGATCCTGAACCATGTCATCAAGAGTCTGCATCTACCAACATGGCTCAGACTAGAAGTTAGTGTCTTCAAACACTGATGCCACGTTTTGGTTTGGCCGTCCCTAACTTTCTTCCAACCATCCCCAACACCGGTTAGCATTGCACGTCGTGGTAATCGGTGTTCAGGCATACACAACACGTGGCTCAACCATCTCAGTTGATGAAGATTCACAACCTAATCAACTGACTTACCATCGTTCCCTAATATCTCACTATTACCTACCCAGTGACTATAGAAGATGTGAGCAATATTTCTAAGACATCTGTGATCAAATACTATCAATTTACGAGTATCTTCTACTCTAAATGGCCATATTTTGCAGTCGTAAAGTAGAACAGAACGAACTCCTGAGCAGTATACTCGTCCTTCTATTGATAGACGGATATCTCGCCTTCGCCATAGGTGACGTAAGTTGGCAAAAGCCAAACGAGGTTTTCAAATCCGTGTTGAGATTTCGTCAGACAACAACCCATTAGGGCTGATCAGACTTCCAAGACAAGTGAAGTTGTCAACGCGTTCGACTACTTAACTCCTTATTCTTAGTTCGGGTGTTGACGCAGACCAGTGCTAGAGCAACAACTTGTATTTAGAGGGATAGAAGCGAATTCCAAACATCCTGGCATTGTTGCTCAGTGCTACAAAAAGACTCGGTTGGATGATTGGGATATCATATGTAAGGTTGGAATAATGTAATGTAGTACAATTTCAACAGAAACATTACCCTAATAAGTATGTTATCATATATATATCTGACTATTTTGTGACGTACTGATTTAGATAAATTCGATTGAAAGTGATTAAATTCGCAAGGGACAATGTATGAATAAAATATCAGTGGAAATTGATGTTTTATATGTATACTCAATAATAAAAGTGATAAACTCACAATCTCTTCATACTTTTAACAATCGAGTGTGATATATTCGTTGACATAAGTAAATTCGTTTATATGTATTGTACTGAAATTGGAATTGTGCGACTAAGTATTTAAAAAGCTTATTAATTTGTACAGGAACCACAGTTTTACTCATTTGTACTTGGGAAAATGCTTGGAACACCTTGATGTGAAGCTAGGATTTTGCCTTTTGTTACGGCTAGAACTTGTGCATAGACTACTCTATGCTGTGAAATTTTATTATTGTTTTTATATACATACAATAAATTACGGTTGAAATTGATGGGGATGGTCAAATTGTCTTCTAATGAAATAGAATTTACTGACAATATCCAGAACTTTAAATTAATTGCATCCACAATATTGATAGGATAAATGTTGTAACATGATATCTGATAATTGCGTTTTTGTAGGAATCTACCTGAAAGTTTGTACGATGGCCCACATCAAATTCAGAGCATTGTAGACATATATCAAGAATGTAAAAACTGTTTAAGTGTAAACAACTGCACAGTGGTTGGAAATATTATGCGGAACCGCTTACAACACTAGTTATATTAGGCCTGAAATTTTGATTTAACTCAGCGGGATACAACACAATCCCGAAAACTGTTTTTCTTCATCGTGAATCCCAAAGTGACCGGATACATCAATAAAATGTTCGAATGAATCGTATTGAGATATTTTGAGGCACTGCTCGGTATGTCTTTGTGAAAGTAAAAAGGAACTATCAGTCTGTATTTTATTTGAGAATCTGTTGTTTGTCAACTAGACGTTTTTGAACGGAATTTCCAAACATACGTTCAATATGACTTTTAGTGTAAACTTATCGGATTGAAATTTCATGACAAATCATTTCCTACAATGAATTCACTTTTCAAATTTTCTGCATACCGAGTGAGCTATTTCCAATTAGATCACTTGAAAATGAATTCAACAATTTATCCTTTCATATTTCTTGACATTTTTTTTCACAATTATTCTACAAAAGTCTTACAATATTAATGAATCTACAAGATCTTAATAATCGGATTTCCAGTTTCTTAATAAGAATGACAGTTTTTTAAGGTTTCGTTATCATGTTTATGAGATCAGTGCTTTTAGCGAGCTCATTAAGGATCACCGTGACGGAAAATTATGTTTTATGACTGCACGACGTCAAGTGTAAATTTTTTGGTAAGAGAACTCTTCGTTGGACCAATTTTCTTGTTTGTATGTTTCAATCGGTGTATTCCGTCTATTGTGGATGTTTAGATTAAATATTCGTTCTTCAAGTTCCAGAACGTTTATACTTAACTCCTTCCGATAGATTCACTTATTGATTTGAAATATACATAGTCTTGTTCGGTGAAGCCACTGGCAAAATGCAAGTTTTGTGATTGACCTGAACAACTATCAAAGCCTGTGTGCGATGCGATTTTATCCCTCCACGTGAAAAGTGTCACCAGAAAACTGGTCTGTTTCAACGCCCAAACTAGTGATGGGGAATAAAGTAATTGACCTCGTCGACTATTTCACTTGCCTTGGATGTCTCATCAGTTCTGGTGGGTTGGTGTCTAACGAAATTTCCACACATAATTAGAAAGCTAACTTAACTTTGCAACTGGCGTCCTTTGTGGCCTACGACAGCCGTCCGTCTGCTAACCAGAGGAAGAGTTTACCGAGTAACAGTTTGTTATGTCCGATTTTATTTATTTCAAGAATTCTCTCTTAAAAAGGATATTTGTAAGTTCCTAGTACTTGATCATGGGTGCCATCAAAGAATTGTTTACATGTGTCAGGACCATTGAGTCAGTAATCCTAATATTAAACGCATGGTATTAGTTAATGATAAAAATCTATTGATTGGACAAAAGATCATTGGGCGAGATGGTTTGGACTTGTGTTATATGTTTTTTCTTCATTTTTCTGGTTTATAAGTTCATTTAGATCCATACGTTTTCTCAATGATCAACCACTAAAATCTCTACTACTCTGGCTTTTATCTTGACGATTTAATTACCCTATGCCAATCAGAGTGTACATATCTATCAGGCTCTACGTTGTGTATAACTAATTACTAGTTCTTCCCAAAAGACAACGTACCTACTCGAGATTTATTCTAACGAATAGGCATCATAATATTCCTGACAAAGTGGATAATATAGACATCGAACACGATCTTAATCTGGAATATTACTTAACCCTAGTCACAAATTTTTGCAGATATTTCAAACTGGTTGTTCAAAATAAGATGAAAGTATTGAAAATTAGTAAATGTAACATCGAACCACATATATTTGTTACTGAATGATTTATTGAAACAACATATGATCATATATGTGAAAGAATAGACAACGAAAACTAATTTAACCATGCCATGAAGTACCCATCATAATAATTTTAAAAATTCCATTTTATTCGTCATTCGAGAAAAAATGATGTTGAATAACTTTTCGAATAAGAGCTATTCTGAAATGTGGGAAATAACTATCTAACAGTTTAGGTAATATTAAAAACAAGTGTTGTTAACAAGGTGAAGTAATTTGGGAAAATTTGCTTGTCATTATAAAAAGGTTTTGTGATATCTACTGTAGTGTGGCGTCAAAACGCGGTTGACTGTGATCAACACTAAAAGAAGGTTGTGTACCAGATATCAGAAGGCGATTGAAGGTTGTAGCGATATATATTTGTTGGCGATCTCGTGGTATCGAAAGAATACCGAGATCGTGTCAAAGGAGTACAAGCGGAATCACTAAGCAAATGTAAGTGCGTGCAAGGTCACAAGCAACGGAAGAATGTATGTCTTTAGTACAGTTAAACAAACAAGTACAGTACAACAATCACTGATAAAATTGGTTATGATAATAATTGTTTCCATTAAACCAATCGAGTTCTCTTGATACAAGTAGGTCACTACACTACCATGAAATCTACCAATCTTCTTTTATGTAAAGCCTATTACATTATCATTCATTTAGCAAGATAAGTTATAAAACAATTTCATGTAAATGTATTCTATAGGTACTGCTAACATTAAGAAACATATAGATCCTCGTTATAATGTTTATAAAAATAAACTGAAGAAATACATGAATCAGACATTATAAGTTTAGGTGAATAAATCATATGATCCACAGTTTAATCCATTTTTATGGTGTGATCGATGTATTAGGCTTAGTTTAGATATAACATAATTGTGTTTATTGGATTTTGTTGACTCAATGAATTTAAAGTGTTAATTATTACGTTTTATAAGATGGATCGTTTCTGATAAGACTGGTGATAGTGCGAATATAAGCCTTTATTTTGTTATTAATTACTACTATCTCTTAGTAACTTTATAGACCTAGATTATTATAATTTTAGCAATAATCATTTGGAAATACCATTTGTATAGTTGAAAAATTAAAAGATAATAAGGTGCTCACAATTATCATTTGAGAAAAAGAAGAAATAAAATCCCTAATGAATTCTATTCAGTTCTATTATAATAACTGATGTTTTCTGAATAAAATAATAAAAGATCTGTCCTATTGATTACAAAGTATATTGTATCCACTAGTGTTAAAATATAGAGGGATTTTGATAAATTTATTTAATTCAATAAGGAGACGAAGTTCATCAGAACTATCTGATATATTA